GCTGCTGAACAAAGCTATTCCCCATCTATACCAATAAAAGGGTAATATGCTAATTAGACTGGGAGACCTTCTAGGAGACCTTCCAGACGTCTTTCTGGACAAAGCCATGGTGGTGGGGCCAAGGCAGAGGTGGTTAGGGGCGATCAGGCCAGCAGGGGAGGGCAGTTGGGGGTGATCAGGCCGGCGGTGGGGGGGGGGAGGGGCAGTTGGAGGCAATCAGGCCAGCGGGGGGAGGGGGAGGGGCAGTTGGGGGCAATCAGGCCAGCAGCAGAGGTGGTTAGAGGTGATCAGGCAGGCAGGTGAACGGTTAGGAGCCAGCGGTCCCAGATTGCGAGAGGGATGTCCATCTGTCAGGCCCTGTGGGATTGGGCTTAAACTGGCAGTTGGACATCCTCCGAGGGGTCCCAGAATTGAGAGGATGCAGGCCGGGCTGAGGGACCACCCCCCCACCCCATGCACAAATTTCATGCACCGGACCACTAGTTAGTAATAAAACTAGAACCCCCCCCCCCCATCATCAAAACTATTGCAACCATTTATTGTGCACCCACTGTGTGCTAGACAAAGTGCCAAGAACTTTAATTATGCCATTGCATGTAATCTCCACAACAACTCTTTGACATTGAAAATATTTTTCCATTTTACAGAGAAGGCAAGAGGCTTATTGCTTCCCTCCAGTATTATTTTCCTTCATTCTGAAGAACTTCTGCCTTCTTTTTCGAGTAGGTAGGTCTTCAGGGTGCAGGTGACAGATTCTCTCAGTTTTCCTTCATCTGAGAATGTCTTTTTTTTTTTTTTTTTTGCATTCACTTCTGAAGGATATTTTTGCCAGACATAGAATTCTGGGTTGACATCACTTAAAAATGTCGTTCTAGCCGAAACCGGTTTGGCTCAGTGGATAGAGCGTCAGCCTGCGGACTGAAAGGTCCCAGGTTCGATTCCGGTCAAGGGCATGTACCTGGGTTGCGGGCACATCCCCAGTAGGAGATGTGCAGGAGGCAGCTGATTGATGTTTCTCTCTCATCGATGTTTCTAACTATCTCTCTCCCTTCTTCTCTGTAAAAAATCAATAAAACATATTTTAAAAAAAATGTCGTTCTATTCTCTTCTGTCTTTCAAGGTTTCTAGTGAGAAATCTGTGGTCATTTGACTTGTTGTTCTCCTATATGTAATATGTCATTTTATGTAGTTTACAAAATATTATTTTCTAATCTTCTTTTCTCTTTATTCTTCAGATTGGATACTTTTTATTACTATATTTTCAAGTTATTAACTCTCTTTTGTCCTCTCCTTTTTGCCATGGAGTGTATCAATGATTAAAAAAATTTTAATGTAGTATTTTTCAGTTGTAAAATTTCCATTTGGTTCTGTTTTTATAGTTTCTTCCAACATGTTTTCCGATATCTTCTGGAACAGAGTTATAATTGGCTTTAAGGTCTTTGTGTGATAATTCCAACATTGGTGTCATCTTGGTACTGACATCTGTTGATTTTCTTTCCCCTTCAGAATTGGTCACATTTTCCTGGTTCCTTGAATGTCAAAATAATTTTAGCTCATATCCTGGACATTTAAAATATTCTGATGTATAGACTCTTGGTCCTGCCAAACCCTCTGGAGGATTTTCAGTTGTGTTTTGTTTTAGTGGAGAATCAGCCTAGTTAGGTTCTGACTGCAAGTTCTGTCTCTCCTACATGGGAAATGGTTCCATACTTAGTTTAGTTTTCCAAGCCTTTGTTTACTGCTTTGTGTCTGTCCTGTGTATATGGTGCTCAGGGGTTTGCCTGAAACTGGGGCAGTGGTTTAACTCTTACCTCAGTTCTCTAAACCTTTGACCTGCTGCTTTGTGTCTCTTGTGTGTGCTGCTCAAGGGAGAGCCCAGGACTGGAGAGGACTTACACACAGAGGAATCCCTTCCTCCTCACCCCCCTTCCCCCTTTGCAGGGCCTCTTTTCCTGGTTCCCTCAGCCGGAAAGAGCAGGTTTCTCTTGGAGGTTTGCTGCCCAGGTCATTGCTGCTGCACAGCTCCACGACTGGGAGCTGCTCTTTGGGCAAAGCCGTGAGAGAAAAGAGAAACACATGAGCATTTCCCTTCCATATTTTCCAGCCCCAGGGGCCCCCTTTCCTGCTGTCTCTGGTTAGAAAGACGGGATTTCTATTGGAGAATTAGCTGGTCATACTGATGGTTCACAGCCCCACAGCTGGGGCCCACCCTCAGCTCAGAGCCACACGAGCAAAAGGGAAAACACACAGGCCACTTCTGCAAGCTTTGTGTTCCCGCCATGATCTACCTGCTTTTGTTCACTTTTTTGAGTCCTCTGAAAGTTTATTTTTAAACAATTTTATCCAGAGTTTTTTTTGCTGTTGTTGTTATTAGTGGGAGTGACAGGCTATCATAGGCTTACTCCATCATGGATGAACTGGAAGTCAACTTAGTTTTAACAGGATCACCTGGGCTGATTTTTTTGAGAATAGACTGAAGAAAGAGAGAGGAGTAGGGAGCCAGTTAGGAGGCTACTGCAGTTGTCCAGGCAAGAGTCATGGAAGCTCAGGCCTCAGTGGTCATCATGGAGGTGGGGGAAGCAGTTGGATTCTGGACATTATTTGAAGGTTAAGCTGATACAATTTGTGATGGACTAAATATGGGGATGCTAGAGAAATAGAGAGGTTAAAAATGATTCCAAGATTTTATTTATTTTTAATTTGTTTTTGCTTAAGCTACTGAATGCACTTGCCATTAATATGGAAGGAGCAGCACGGAGGGGAAGAAGGAAGATGAGGCGTTTGTTTTGGGACATGTTTAGTTTGAGATGCCCATTCGATATGCAAATGGAGATGTCAGAGCAACCTGTAAATACCAGCCTGTAGTGAACGGGAGGTCTGGGCTGGAGACATAAACTCAGGAGTTAATGGCATATGGATGGCATTTCAAGCCATGAGACTGGATGAGGGCACCTATGGGGTAGGATAGAGAGAGAAGAGGCCTGGTGGCTGGCGCCTGAGGAGCCCCAGTGCTGACTTGTTTGACTCGGGAGGTTGGAAGCAACGCCGTCCCAGTGGCATGTGTTAGTCAGGGTCCAATCGAGGGACCGTACCACGCTGTAACTTGAACAGAGGAAGTTCAATATAGACAGTGTTGGGGTGGGAGTCATGAGGAAAAAGAACTCAAAGACTATAGAAATGACTGATGTAAGGACTAGCAACTAGGGCTGTGATAGAGGCCCCAAGGAAAAGCCACGGCTGAGATCCAGACCTCTGGGGAGAGGGCACAGCCACTGCTCGCTGGGTTCCAGAGAAGTCACTGTGGTGCCCCACCAATGGGACTTGCTGGGAACCTTCCATCCAGAACCTACTAGTACACCCTTTAGGGTGCTGGGGAGAGCTTTCACAAGGAGGTGTCTTGCTGGAGGCACTTTGATATGTAATTGCCCAAGAAGGATGCTGAGGAAGCTCCTGGCTGCTGGCTGCTGTGCCAGGGGGCCTGATAGTATAGATGGTGTCTGCGCTGCAGGAATTTGCACTGGGGAAACGGCCGAGAGAGCACAGTGGAGGCAAAGTCCCCTACTTCTCAAGGTCTCACCAATGTTTATGGAAATGCCTACAGACAAGGCTTAACTTCATACCAATGGATCTAAGGGGATCAGCTCCATTTGCACAGAGTAGGGAATAAGGGTGAATCTGGAGCCGAGGCAATACATTGATAACTGGCACAGGTGAATGTGGGTCTGGCCTAGGAGAGGCACCAAGGCCAGATGGAGACAACCTTGATGTTGCTGTCACCTGAGGGGTGCATGTGATTTTACATGGGAGACGGGATGGGAAGTCAGGAGCCCCTGGAAGCAGGACAGGAGGTGGTTGGTGAGTCCTGGGTCAGGCAGGCCTTAGGCTGTGAGCAGAACAACCTGTATGTTCTCCGGTTGCTCAATGAAGTCTGAGCATATAAAGATGGAAGGTGTGCTTCCTGCTCCCTAAGGAGGAGCCTCCAGGTGAGACAGAGCGGCACCCAGTCCCTGCTGTGAGATATGCGCCCTAATGGGGCTCTGTCATGACTGCACTTTGGCTGACTCCGACCTGTAATACAGACAGATCTCCAAACTGGGCATGCTCTCTCCAGTCATGGCTTTTACACATGTTGTTGCCTACCTGGGGCACTTCTTCTTTGGTGTGGCTAACTCATCATGCTTCGCATCTCTGCCGGAATACTACATCTTCCAGGAAGCATTTAATGATGCCCAGTCTGGGCTGGGCCTCTCCTCTGTGTACTGTATCATCGATTCTACCCTTAACCCAGCATTTAGCATACCCAGCCACAAGTGCTTGTTTGCCTGTCCATCTATCAAGTGGGACTGTAAGCTCTCTGAGGATGAGGGCCAAATCTTGTTCATTGCTATTTCCCCAGCATTGGGCCTGGCAAGTAGTAAGCCCCTATCATATGTTGCATGAACAAATAAAGGTGGATAGGTTGAAAGCGGGGTACAAGAGAAGACGGAATGGCAGGGGGTGTATGAGCAGATCATTCAGGGATTGGATGCAATGTTAGGAAGTTTGAACTCTTTGGAAGGCAGTGAGGAGCCACTGAGGACTGTAAGCTGGGTCAGTTTTCTATATGAGAAAGACCTCTATAGCAGCCTCATAGTGAATGAGTTGGATGAGGGTAAGAGCTGGGACAGAAAAATGAGGATGCAGTGATGCCAGAGGAACAGGGTGTGGGGTTGGACCCAGAGAACAGATGGAAAGGTTCACCTTGGCCAGGAGAAGGGCACCTCTGGGTTGCAGGGCAATGCCTGGAGAGAAGTGGGATGTTTGGCACTTGCTTTCAGAGCCTCTGCTATAGGTCTTCTCTCCCTTGCTGAACTGTGAGCCCCTACAGGGGAGGGTCCGAGCCCTCTTTTCTCAGCACCCACTCTATACCCAGGATAGCCTCTGCCCAAGTCCCAGGATGGAGTCTAGGAGGAAATCTCTCCACGCCTAGCATGATCCAGAAGGAGAGGCCAGAGTCCTAGTGATGTTAGCTTGGCAAGTTTATTGAAAACCCAGGAACACAAAGAGCAGTACAAATAGGTCCCCCAACCCACCCCAGGCCTCCCTGGAGCTTGCAGAATAAACCCTCCTGCAGCGGACAGGGGTGGGCCTCCCTCACACCACCAACAGTTGTGTGGGGTGTAGCGGAGGTCACCCTCCTCATGAGCTCACATGCTGCAGAGTTAAACCAACAACCCAGGAAAAGAAGTAGCCAGGACGTCTGTCCCTGGAAGAAGAACCATCTCAGGGTACTAAGGGGTCCCCTTGGCCATCAAGTACTGTGGATCCTTGTGAGTCAGGAAACTAGGAAAACACCTTCTCCTGCCGGGGAAAGGAAGAGGAAGGAGGCCAAGGATGCTGGCCCAGCTGCACTATGGACAGTCAACTTCCCATTCTCCAAACTAGTCCAAAGCTGGGATGGTCATGGTGCCCAAAGACATTCTTTTTGGCTTTGGACTGTGTCTATTCTCCTCAGGCACAGATTTTTGTAATTGTATCAAATCTGAATTCTTGAAGCTGTTCAGATGGATGGTGAGGAGTGATCCAAAGGAAGGACATTGGGAGTCAGGGAGAAACCCATCTGGATGGGGCTGCGGATGGAGCATCCAGGCAGAGAAGAGTATCCCCGAGAGGACACAGGCCGGACAGAGCCCTGTCCCTTCCTGGTAGGAGGGGAAGCCCCCCGACCCCAGGGCCCAGGAGCCTTGGGGACAGAAGCAGGGGACACTGAGATGGTTCTTCCCAGGGCAGTGGCTGGCCATAGGCTCTCAGTACTTGGTCTGGCGGGAGGTGGTGGTGGTGGACACGAAGCGGACGCTGGAACCTTGGCTGCTGCGGCCCCCACTGCAGCTGCTGAAGCCGCCCTCGGTGGGCAGCGGGCAGGGGATGCTGGGGGCGCAGGGGGTGCAGGATTCTCTCATCAGCACCGAGCCTCCCCGGGAGCCTGTGCTGAGCAGGTCCCCGCTGCCCATGATGACCTGGGCCCCACCCAGACTGGAGCCACAGACGCCACCAGAACGGATGCTGCTGCCAGAGAAGGTGACTCTGCCGCGGGAGAGGGTAGAGCTGGAGACCAGGGGCTCAGGCCCACACACCAGGCCACCGCGGGAGCTGCTCACGGCTGCAGGAGGGAGAGATCATCAGTGAGGCTGCATGGCCTTCATGCCCCCTCTGTGGGGTGGGAGGCCAGGGCCCTGGGTGGAGGTGGTCCCTATTGTCTACACAGTCAATACCCACTTCTTCTCTTGTCTGGGTGACTCAAAGGCTGTGACTCTGCTAGTCAACATTCAGAGTAAATGGAAGGATTCAATCAATACCCCAGATGTTTGCGTAGAGCCATAGGTTGGTTCTCATTTATATCTGGCCAGTCACGCTGATTTTGTTGAGAGTATAGTGACCTGCATGATCCAGACAGTGGGAGCAGTAGGCTTTATAAATCACTAGGCTTCTGTCTTCCAATTACTCCCTGCCCCTCAGTGGTTCTCACATGGCCCCTCCAATAAGAGTCCCTTGTCATTTCTGTTCTGACCTCCGCTCAAGCCTGACTCCTGCAGAAAGCCATCCTGGCTGCCCACCCCTCTTGGCAGGCACTATCATCCAAGCACTTGCAGCTCTGACCTACCCAGGTTACACTCAGTTCAACCTCACATCTGTGTATATTTGTGCTTTTGGAGTCAGAGATCTGGTTTTGAATTCTGGTTGTGCCACTGACTAAATGACTTCTGGCAAACCACATATTTTCTCTGAGTGAGTGAAAGGTGGTTGCCAGTGCCTGTTCCTCCCCCCAGGGCTGCTTTGAGGGGTAGGCTGACAGTGGATAGGACTCATCTTCTCAAAAAGATTATAATTCTAGAGGCAGGGGCTAGGGCTCACCTTCTTTGTGCCTCCACCCTCCAGTGCCAAGCATAGTGCCCTGCAGTGCCAAGCATGGTGCCCTGCATGCTTTGGGTACAACCAATACTTTGTCTGGCAGCAGCAGCAGCAGCAGCAGCAGTAGGGGGACTTCCATTCAGCTTTGTCCCATCTCCTGCCATCAGGGGTGTAGGGAACTCCCTGGCAAATGTCTTTCATTCCTCCCCTGGCTTTTGTCCTTAAAGGACAAGGCCACTAAAAATGGAAGGGCTGCTGCTCTTCTGGAACCCTCTCCCACCCAGGAGGCTCTGAAAACCTTGGTGATTGCATACCCTGGGGAGGGTAGGCTCAGGGGAGATCTCAGACCTCTGCTAAGGGGATGCTCTAGCCCAGGGGCCAGATGGTCCCTGCTCCCCTGACTGTCCTGGTCAGCCCAGCCATGGGCTCCTGACCCAATGTGGGCCTGAGTTTAAAGGAAATTTGAAGGGCATCAGGAGAGAAATGTGTAGAGGAAAAGACTTCAGTTTCTTACATATGTTTACTGGTCCAACACCTTCGCAGAGCCTGGAGAGAGAAAGAAATAAGTCAGTTTACAAGTAGCGTTGTTCTCTGGAAACCCACTTGCTCTCAGAAGGGCTTTCCTGGCCGAGTAGACCAGTGGGCCAGTGGTTTTCACCCAGCTGCACAAGCATCCAGAGAGCTTTGAAAAGTGACATATTCCTAGACCTTACCCCAAAATGATTTAACAAGCTAACCAAATCTTTTAAACAAGCTAACCCCATCAAGCAAAACTCCGTTTCTGATGCAGCCTGTCTGCAAACTTGCATTTAGGAGGCACAGACTTAGAGTCGTCTTCTAATCCCTCGCCAGGGTCAACCCAACTAACATTTGCAGAAAAGGCTCTCTTACTTCTGGAGATGGCTATTTCAGCATTTCTTCATCTGGTCGCTGTCCCCTTCTCCCCCGCTAATTAGTCCAGATGTCCAAGTTCGACCTCATTCCCTCTTGTGCCCTGTGAGCACTCACCGGATCTCCTCGCCCTCCAGCAGGCGCCTGTAGGTGGCGATCTCAATGTCCAGGCCCAGCTTGACGTTCATCAGTTCCTGGTACTCACGCAGCTGCCTGGCCATGTCCTGCTTGGCCTGCTGCAGGGCGCCCTCCAGATCTGCCAGCTTGCATTTGGCATCCTTGAGGGCTGCCTCACCCCGCTGCTCCGCCTCAGCCACTGCGGCCTCCAGCTTGGCCCGCTGCAGGGAGGACAGTTTGTTGGTGGGTTTTGGCAGAGACTAGGGGATCCCGGATCCCCAGGTGGGGCTGGAAACACTGCCCCTTGTTAGTGGGGACACAGCCTGGTGCCAAGCCAGGGATGGAGCCCATGTGGCTGCTTTCTTAGGGACCGTGAACCTGCAGTTTGATGTCACCAGAGGCGAAGCATTGCTTTTTTTCAGTTTCTAATCCAGTGACTTTGCACTTCCTTATATCTGCTGCTCCAAGAGCCATGGGCTCCAGAGTAAAACTATTCTTTGCCCTCTACCTGCTCCTTCAAGTTGACCCTAAGCCTTTTCTTCTATATGGGAGATCCTCCTTTCCTTCCACATTTTCCTCTCCCAGGAAGTCTTTTTGTACTAATCCCTCCATTCCTCCATTTCTGGGTCCTGATGGTCTCCCCTATATCATCAGACTTGGAGCTCCCCAAATTCAGAGCCCTGCTTCTCCTTCCTCTGGGGCTTTCTCTATTTTCTTTTGCCCACCTGAGTCTTGGCGTGCTCGATCTCTGTCTTCAGCCTCTGGATCATGCGGGTCAGCTCATTGATCTCATTCCGTGTGTTGCGCAGGTTGTCACAGTGTTGGCCAGCTGTCACTCGCATCTCCTCATACTGTGGGGTGCGGTGGGGAGAGGGGGATGTTCTGAGGTCTCAAAGGTTGGATCAAGACCACAGCTTCAACTGAATTGGGGGTCTCGCACCTCCATGGGGCCCACTTTGTTGTACCTGAGTCTCACCCCAAGGCTACCTACACCCCTTCCCAGCCTGCCTTTGCCCACCTTGGTCTGGTACCAGGCCTCAGCATCAGCCCGGCTGCGCCTGGCAACCTCTTCATATTGGGCCTTGATTTCGGTGATGATGCCATCCAAGTCCAGGTCCCGGCTGTTGTCCATCTTCACAATGACCGAGGTCTCTGAGATGTGTGACTGTAGCAGCTGGATTTCCTGTGTTGGAGGATAAATAAGAGAGAGGGACTCAGAGTCCCATCAGTGACCAGGATGCTGCCACAGGGTCCCCAGGATGTAGTGTCAAGAGCAGAGAGTATTGCTTGTTTGTTCAGAGCAAAGCTATGGGGCAGGCCGTCCAAACCAAAGGTGAAGAAAAAGGCATGTCCAGAACCACTTCTGTTTGACTTTAAAGTCTTGTTATGTACTCAGAGACATCCCTTTACCACCCTAACTTTTGCTTAGGTGAATATTAAAACCATGGGAGCCTAGGCTTTAAGTGAAGAAGAGTGAGAGCTATACTAGGGATACACTTTTCTTTGGATTATCCTCAAAGTGGCTGTGCCATTCGTGGATTATTGAGAGCTGACAATATTTTAGAACATGATGGTCTAGGAATTATACACCTCAAGTCCTTAACAGAACCAGGGGACATGGAACTGGCCTGCGAGGTGAGGGCTCCAGAGGGAGCTTTCTTTAGGGTTCTCATTCAGAGCCAGACATTCAGCTCTGGCTGGGTCTGTATCAGACCAAACAGACCATTTATGAAGTAAAGGAAACCTAGTTCATTTGGCCAATTAGGTCAAACATGATTTTTTTTTTTTTTTTTTTTTTTTTACCTCTCCTAGCAAATCAGTTTTCCAGAGTCTTCTGATCAATAGATTGAAAGTGATATTCCTAGACCCAGATCTTTGGATTGGTCAACAAGGGGTTGTACCATGGATCCAAGAAGTTTATACGTAGATCTGAGTCAGGCTGCTGAGAAGCCTGCTTACCTAACCTTTTCCACTGGTAGATCTATTGACATATAGAGGATATAGATTTGAGTGGGAGGAAAGATGTATGATACCAAATATTAGAAAATGTGCCAGTTCAGGGGAAGCCCCCAGGGAGTCCAGGCTAAGCACTGATCTCATATGGCTGAGAGGGGATGAGCCCTTACCTCCATGTATAGGGTTTTCAGGAAGTCAATTTCCTGAGCTAGGGTTTCCACGTTGGCCTCTAGATCAGATTTATGTAAGAAATTTGAGTCCACATCCTGCATAAAAGAGAGAAGGATAAGATGCATATTACGTTGCACTGTTTAACCCCCGCACCTTGGCGGAGTCTGGGGATGGGTGGGAAGATCAGACCAGCCCCACAGGGCCAGGCCAGTCTGGGGATGGGTGGTAAAGTCACTGGGTGGAACTGCAGTTCAGTGACTGTGGCTCTTCTCCTGCTGCAGCATAAACACTCCCCTGGGGCTGCTGGATCTCTCCTGATGCTTATTTAGAGGCAAGGAGAATCTGGATAATCCCAGGCAAATAAATAATAAAAGGACATCTAAACAATTTAACCTGCCGTGGCTGGTTTGCTCAATGGTTAGAGTGTCGGCCCACGGACCGAAGGGTCGTGGGTTCAATTCCTGGTCAAGGGTGTGTGCCTCAGTTGTAGTCTGGCCCTGGTTGGGATGAGGGCAGGAGGCAGCTGATTGTGTCTCTCTCACATTGATGTCTCTCTCTCTCTCTCTCTCTCTCTCTCTCTCTCTCTCTCTTTCTCTCTCTCCCTCACTCTCTCTCTCTCTCCCACCCTCCCTCCCTTCCTCTTCTCTCTCTTCCACTCTGTCTAAATATCAATGGATTAAAAAAATAAATAAATAATCTAACCGATCTTAAATATTCTGAGACCAAATTAGAACTTCGAAGAGACCTTGTGTGACCTTAAGGGTTCCCCTCTGTGTGAGTGGTCAGAGACAGCACAGGGATGCCTGGGCAGTTTCCTGAGGGGTCTCAAGGACATTTGCCTGTCTGGAGAAGTTTACCTATTGCTTTCCCTTACCTTCTTCAGAGTCACAAACTCATTCTCAGCGTTGGCCCGGAATCCCACCTCTTCTTCGTACCTGGATGATTAGAATTAGGAGAGTGAGTTCTCATTCTGAACTGAGAGCCATTGACTTCCAACTTCCTAGTGAGCCTCTTAAGACCTCTCTGCTCCACCCAGGAGCGCAGCTTCCTGTTGTTACCTACAGGTTCTCAGCCATTCTGTCCTTTCTGTAAGACCTTACATGTACCAGTAGCCCTCAGTTTCTCCAAATCCCTTTAACATTCTCACATAGGATGTGGGGCCTGAAAACGTGGTCCATTTCTTTGCTCCTCTGCTAGAAAAGATTTAGAGTCATTGCACATGACCAGAGAGGAAGTAGGACCCAACTTGTTGCTGAATGTGGGCATGGTTCTCACAATCAGAGGGCTCTTTTTTCTGCGGCTAACTCACCCATTTCCACAGTGAGGATTAGGAAAAAAACATGCCCAATTCCAAGACTCCTTTTTCCTCAGGACCTATGGAGGGCCTCCTCCTGCTCCCTTACATATCACTGCCCCCACATCTGTCTACAGACTGGGTATAGAAACCAGCATTCAACCTTGACCCTTCCAGCTGCTCTCATCTGAGCTTGGTCACTGCTTTAGGGACCAGCCCATGCCTGTCCTTGGTCAGTGCGGTCCAGATGCCACTCACTTCTTCTTGAAACCTTCAAGGACATCCTGCATGTTGTTCCTCTCAGCCTCCAGACGGGCCCGGTCGCTGCTGGCTGCATCCAGCTGCCTCCGCAGGTTAGTGATGTAGCTCTCAAAGAGGGGCTCCAGGTTGCTCTTGGCACACTTCTGCTCTTGGAGGAAGTTCCACTTGGTCTCCAGAAGCTTGTTCTGCTGTTCCAAGAACCGCACCTAAACCCACAAGGGCACAGAAAGGAAAATTGAAGTGTTTGACAGAGTCACTTACATGCCCACCAGTTCTTCAGGTGGTCAGAAATGACTCTCGACACTGTGGTGACATTGTTCTCTCCTCTGTTGACATTAATTCCTGCTCTAATTCAGTAGAATATGGAAGAGCAGGCCCATGACCCCCTCTTCGGGCTCAGCCAGGCTCAGCTACAAACAGGCACTGTTCTAAGTGACTAGGTAGTAGGTCTAGTCACTAGGTAGTAGGTCTTAGTTTGTCCAGATGACCTCAGACTTGGCTGAAGGTTCCTCTTTCCTCCAAAAGATGCAACCTCTGTGTTAGTCTAGCCCTCCATGCTGCGCTCCTCAGGCCCATCCTTGCTCTACAGCAGAGTGATCCAGAAATCATACTGCAATACCTTTGGTTGACACCTAAAGGATCTTGGGGTCAAGGTCAATGCCCTAGGCCTGGGCTATTTCTTCTTAAGGGAAAGAACACCCAATGCATTTTAGCTCTTACCATCCCAGACCCAGGGATTGAACTATACCTTGTCAATGAAGGAAGCAAATTTGTTGTTGAGCGTCTTGATTTGCTCCTTCTCATCTCGCTTCACCCTCTGAGCATTAGGGTCAATCTCCAGGTTGAGAGGGGTCAGCAGGCTCTGGTTAACAGTCACTGCTGTGATAGACGGGGCTGCTGGGACTCCAATTCCTCCAACTCTGTAGCCAAAGCCATAGCCAAGGCAACTGCTGGCTCCAAACCCTAGACCAGCACCACACCCACCACCAGCACCAATGCCAATTCCACAGTGGATGGGACGAGAGCCTACAGCTGCTATCCGGGGTGAGCATGATCCATAGGTGATGACACTCCGACTACCAAAACTGCCAAGGCCTCGGAAGCTGGACCCACTCCTGCAGGAGACGGAGCTGGCTCGGAACCTGTTCAGGTTCTGCGGGGCCATTGCTGAGCAAGAGCTGAAGTTGCCCACACGGCGACCAGAGCTGACTCGGTAGGAGCGGCAAGACATGATGGCTTCCTGGATGAGAGCAAAGCAGCAATTGCAGAGTGTGGGGTGAGCTGGAGCTGGGAGTCCCTCTGAGGCTAGTGGATTCCTCTCACCCCTTTTATGTGTGTGGGGATCTGAGGATTGGCCCCATAAAAATGGAAAAAGCCATTTGGAGGCATTTATGAGCTTGGGTAGTTAGCAGAAATTCTTCATGCCTATAACCTCCTTGACAATGAGCTAATCTCAGGCACACCTATTCTCTTTGGGATTAGGGCTATAACATCAAACCTATAAATATTAAAAACGCATAAACACATAAACATTATGGTCCTATTTTTCCCACAAGTCCACCACAATTGCCATTATGGGGATATTAATTTGCTTTGGTCATAAATCCAATAGACTTTTGCATTGCAAATGTGGCTAACCACCAGAAAGTTAGGATGGTGGTAGCTCTAAAGTTAAGAGGCTCACAGGGATGCATCTATATAGACATATCCCTTTAAAGAGGTGAGATATGCAGAAAAGAGACAGGATCTGCAGAGCTCCAACTAAGAAATAATATGGCGCCCTGGCCGGTGTGGCTCAGTTGTTTGGGTGTTGTCCTGTGCACCAGAGGGTTGCCAGTTTGATTCCCGGTCAGGGCACATGCTCAGGTTTCATGCTTGAGTACCCAAAGGGGCCATGCAAGAGGCAGCCAATTGATGTTTCCCTCTCACATTGATGTTTCTCTCTCCCTCACTCTAAAAAGCAATAATACTATTTTTTTTAATAAAGAGAAAAAAAGAAATAATATGGCAAGAATACACTTTATTGCATTTCTGTAGGTGAATTAAATAGTCCAAAAACCTTTAGCGGTGCTTTATCTATCTTCTATGATCTGGTTTGGCTGTTTACATAGGAGTTCAATCTTCAGTAAAGCTGTTAGGGTAGATACATGCCTAATTTGAGACACTCAGAGGAGATTCATTCATTCATTCATTCACTTACTCACTCACTTAACAATTATCAGGTGCCTACTCTGTCCCAGTCAGTGTGCTTGGTACTGAAGGTAAAGAGATAAGAAAGATGGTCTTTGCCCTTTTGGTGGTGGTGGAAGATTAATCTTGAGGACTTCTGTTGCATAATTTGATGCCAAAGCACACCAATAATTTGGCCATTTATCTGTGTGGAAAGTCAGCCACATGATTTTGAGCCCCTCCATCCCCAATACACATGAGGGATTATTAATAGCTCTGTTTATTCAGGTTCTTTTAATTATTGATGAATTTTTGGTTAGGATAGTGAGACGCAAGCAATAAGTATCAATATAGAAAATGAAAAGTTCTAAGCAACTGGATATTGTTATCAATATTGCAGATATTTCAGGACCCAGAGGCAGGTGTTTACCTTTTTAATTCTAGCGGGTGACATGGTTGGTATCACCTGTCTTACCTGTGCCTGGAGGAACTTGTGCTTAACTGGACACTGGAATTTTGGGGGATACTTGGGATTCTACTTGGAAGAGGATGTGAGCTTTTGACTGGAACTCCTTTCTTCCTTCCTAATATTTATACCTTTTCTTCCCTTTTCTTGCCTTATTGCATTAGCTATGGTTCTAGTACGATGTTGAAAAGTAGTGGTGAGGGGACATCTTGCTTTATTCCTAATTTTAGTAGGAAAGTGTCAAGCTTCCCATCATGAAGCATGCTATTAGCTGTAGGTTTTGGGGTACATATTCTTTATCAAGTTGAGGAAGTGCTCCTCTATTCCTAGTTTACCACATTTTCCATAGGCCCAGTCACCAGGTGTATGTCTAATGGGAGAAGAAGAAGAAAAATAATAATGAGAATATTTCTTGTGAAGATTATTAATGACCTCCATGTTGCTAAATTCAGTGCTCTGTTCTCAGATCTCATTTAACCTGATTTATTAGCAAGTATTTGATATAGTGGATCATTCCTTTTCCTTGAAATACTTTCTTCTTTTGGTTTCCAGATAGCACAGTCTCCGATTTTCTTGCCATATTACTGGCTGCTTCTTTTTGGTCTCCTTAGCCAGTTCCTTTTCATGTCTTCAACCTGTAGACACACAGCACTCTTGGACTCAGCCCTTGTACCTTTTCTCATATTTATCCATGCTCATTCCCTTGGTGAGATCATTCAGCCTCATGACTTGAAATACTATCTATCCACTGATGACTGCCAAGGGCATATCTTTATCCTGGACTTCCTCTCTGTACTCCACATATATGCTCTGATCAATGTCTCTCTTTGGATATCAAATAAGCATCTCAACCTTAGTATCTCCAAAACTGTTCTCCCAAATGTTCATGCTAATATGTTCCAACTTGCTAGGCTCACCCCCCCTGCGGTAGCTCAGGCCACAAAATCCGAGAGCCATCCTTTATTCCTCTGTTTTCTCCATATTCCACATTCAATCCAGTGGCAAATCCCACCTTCATAACGTATCTGGACTCCTACCACCTCTCACTCTCCCCACTGCACCATGTGCGCCAGGCTTATCGCTTCTCACGGGGTGATTGACATAATCACCAGTCTGCCTCCCTGTGTCCTCCTTTGCCCCATCCAGTCTTTTCTTAACACCACAGTCAATCATCCATAAAAACATGTTAAATCATGTCATTTATATGCTCAAACCCTTCTAAGGGTTTCCCATCCGACTCAGAGTAAATGCGATATAAAATCTGCCCTCCCCTTTCATTGACCTTGCTGTCCTCAGCCACTCTGGCCTCCTGGTTGTCCATCAAACAGGCAGGAAAACTCCTGCCTCATATACGACACCCCCCCACCCCCCACGCCACCCCAATTGCTCTTTTCTCTGCTGGGAACTCTTTTTCCTCAAATGGCTACATGGTCAGGTCCCTCAATTCCTCCAGGCCTAGGATCATAGGTCACCCCCTATTTAAGCCCCTAAATCCCCCATGTGCTGCCTGTCTCCCCTCTCCACCCCCTTCTCTCCTCAGCAGCCCTCACCTCTGAGGTCCTCTCCTGGGTGGATTTGCTGGCTCAGAGTCTATCACCTTTGCTGGACTAAAGCTCCAGGAGACAGGCACCGTGTTTCCAGTGCTTAGTAGCGTGGGGCACATGATTGAATGAATGGATTACCCAAAGATTAAAAGCAGAGGAAAGGGGGAGACAGGAGCGGGGTGTAAAAGGAAGAGGGATTTAGGCATTTGGTGGTGCAGAAACTCAAGCGTTCACAAGGGAACCAACCCAGTTTGCCCTCCAGCTCCTGCCTCTTGGGGCTTAAATCTGGTGCTTGGAGGAAAGGGCATCCGACTCCTCTGGGGATCCAGGAGACTGGGGAGGGGACCCCTGTGGAGGAGAAAGGGAGAGGGGAGCTGGAGGGATGGCATAGAGAACACCAGCTAGTGTGCCAGGCCCAGGACAGAAGACTTGACCCAGCCCTTGGAGTTAGACGGACCGAGACACAGTCCCAGTGTGGCCACCTACCAGCAGTATGACCTTGGACAGGGTGCACCGAGGGCAGGGTGGTGGCAGGGTTCTGCTCTGGGGAGTAGGCAATAAGGAGTGCCTGACTATAGAGAACTTAAAATCAGTAATATAACCAACTAAAAGTTGATCCACTTTTTATTGTCACTGTGCACTGCTAGTCAGCAAACACGCTCCCTCAATGGTATACTAGTTACTTGGGGGGGATTATTTTACTTCTCTAAGCCTCAGTTTTCTTGTCTGTAAAATGGAATGATCCCTACTTCCCAGGATCTTGAGGATTAAATCTGAAAGCCTTTGAGTGTACACTGTGTGGTTCTTGTCATCCATTCACCCCCTGCTGTCTTTCCTTCCTCCTTCCCTCTTTTTCTTCTGGCCCTTCTCTCTCTTGCACAATCCTCCCTTCCCTTTGAAGCAGTCATCCTGTTCCAGCCCAGCACCCCACCCCCTTCCCGCTCCAGCAGGTGCTCATTACCCCATCAGCCATTCTGGGGCTGTCCCAGTGTGGGCTCAGCTTCCTTCAGCCCTGACCAGCCGGGCAGGGTGGTGGGTAATTGGGATCAGTCAAGCATAACCCCTGTTCTGGGATGAGCTGACACCATCAGCAGTTTATAGTTCTGAGGCATTATTTCGCCAGATCGTGCATAACACAAGCCTCAGTCATTTTTAGGGGGTGGCAGGTGGGGAGAGGCCGAGGAGTCACCCTGCCAACCCCAGGCTGAAGGTGTTGCTGCTCCCACAGTTTCTTCTTACTGCTGCCAGTCGGCCTGTAATGGAATCCTGAGATCTGCTGGTCGGGCCCAGCCACAGCACCTCACTTTGCTGCTGTGGTGTGGTTGCTGGCTCATCGCCGAGCTGTCTGTGCAGGGGGGAGGAGGGAAACTGCTGGGAGGGAAGAGAAGAGAGGAGGTGGAGGGAGGGGGCTAAGCCGGGTCTGGGGACCCTGGGCTCCCTGTGGCTGTGTGTGTGTGTGTACACACACGTACGCACTCGCATGGGAAGGAGAGTGACAGGGAAATCCCAGATGCTAAGAAGGCTTTGCTAAAAGCCACCTTCTTCAGAGTGTTTCCATTTTGCCCAGAGACAAGTTTGTGCTGGAGAGAGGCCCTCCCAGGAAGGTGTTCATGCTGAGACCTGCCCTGTGGGCAGGGAAGCTCTGGAGTCCCCTAGCAGGAGGAGGGGCCGGTAAGACAGGTTGAGCCCACCCCGGCCCTCTCTACCCCTCTGCCCTCTCAGACTGATGACCCTGAGATGGAATCTACACGCCTCCCAGGAGAGAGAAAGCACCCCTCTGGTTCGGGCCCATCCCCATTCTCCAGGTGGGATGATTTTTTTAGGTTTAATCCAAATTCCTCTCATTCACAGAGCTTCACCTGTCCAGGGTAAAAATATTGCATCTCATAGGCATAAGGTCAGTTTGCTTTAACAGACCTTTACTGGGCACTGATGTGTGCCCGGCATTGTGTTTAGGTGCTGGGATGGCTGGTGCCCAGCCCTCTTCCTCTGTCAGGCTCAGTGGTCCTATGTTTCCCTCCTCTGCTCTCAGTCCCATTCCTGAAACCAATCCAAGCTCTGGGTGGAGAGTGGCAGTAAAGGGTGCACCTGAGGCCACTGATGGGGCTGCGATGAGGAAGGGATCCTGGAGAAGTGCTTCTGGGCGCCAAGCAGAGAGCACCTGAGGGAGGGGCAGTGGGGGAAGGAAGGGTCTTGTCAGGGGAAGAGAGGCCCTGTGAGAAGGTAAGAAGAGGAACAAGGAAACGGGAGACCTTCTGGGAGACAGACACAGACACAAGGAGCTCTACCTGGATTCTCCCGCCCTCCACAGGCCTCGTTGGGTGGTTCCCCACCATTCCTCGCAGGGGCGCTCTGGGAGGCCTGCATTTGGGGTCCCAGGGGTGAAGAGAATATAGTGAGGCTTTAGCTTTACTCATCTGGGTCTCCTTTCCACCCCGGGGGAGGAGGAGGGGCCTGATCCTCCCTGTATCCCAGCACCTGGGAGTCTGGCCCAGGGAGAAAGAAGCCCAGGAGGTGTTTGCCCAGGTGATTGGAGTGTGAATCACTGGGCCACCACCAGGAGGCACTTTTCCCCACCTGCCTTGATTCATCCCCTGGGGAAGCAGGAAGGAGGGGGTCACTGCTGCACATCACTAAGGGGTTCCCCTAGTGGAAGTGCTGGAGGGGGTCTGCCCAGGCTCAGAGCTCACATCCAGGACTGAGCGAGGGCACCTTCACTATTGGGTGGAGTTGTGCCTCCCCTTCCCAGGGTCCTGGGCACTCAGAAATGGGAAGTTCCACATGGATGGTCCGCAGGCCCAAGCCCATCTCTCAGTGATGGTGGGGGAATGCACTCCTGCTCCTCCTTTATTCCAATGGGTGTTTCCTGGTTCCATACATAGTCATCTCTGGGATAGAGGTGGGTGGTCTATTGGGATCTCCTAGACTAGAGCTTTGAGTGATTAATCAGCAAGGAGCTTAGCTGGCTCTCAGGCCAGGTCCAGAGTGATGGGAATTCAAGTGGCAACTGAGGCTGTGTGGCCCCATTGTTCTGTCCCCTCCTTTCATGTGTCCCTGAATCTCAGACCTCACGGTGGGTGGTGTGCACCCCGGCTTCCCCTAAGCCCTGCTTGTCCTTCAGGATCCAGCTCACCTGCCCCTCCTCCTGGGCACCTTCCCAAGGCCCCTGACTAGGGTGGGACCCTCATATATGTTCCCCTTCACAATTCTCACATCTGTAATTTCCTGCTCCAGGTCTGAATTTCCTGCTATTTATCATTGAGATATATTTCACACAGCACATAACTCACTCATTTTATTTTATTTTATTTTTTAAAATATATTTTATTGACTTTTTACAGAGAGGAAGGGAGAGGGATAGAGAGTTAGAAACATCGATGAAAGAGAAACATTGATCAGCTGCCTCCTGCACACCTCCCACTGGGGATGTGCCCACAACCAAAGTACATGCCCTTGACCGGAATCGAACCTGGGACTTTTCAGTCCGCAGGCCGACGCTCTATCCACTGAGCCAAACCAGTTACGGCAACTCACTCATTTTAAGTGCACAATTCACTGATTTTAGTATATTCCTAGATATGTGCAATTATCATCACTGTCAATTTTAGAACCTTAAAAAAATCCTTTAGTTATCACCCCTATACTTTCCCCTCATCTCCTGTCTTCTCCTTCCTCCAGCCCTAAGCAACCACTAATCTGCTTCCTGTCTCTTAGATTTCTATATTCTGGACTTTCATATGAAAGGAATCATATACCACATGGTCTTTGTGACTTGCTTCTTTTACCTTCCATAATATTTCCAAGGTTCATCCATGTTGTAGCACGTGTCGCTCCATTCCTTTTATGACTGAACAATATTCCATTGTATGAATATACCACATTTTGATTATCCATTTGCCCATTAATGGATATTTGGGTTGTTTCCATCTTTTGGCCATTGTGAACGGTGCTGGTATAAACATCCACGTGCAAGTTTTGGTGTGGAAATGTGTTTTCCTTTCTCCTGGGTATATACCTAGGAGTGGAATTGCTGGGACATATGGTAACTCTGTGTTTAACATTTGAGGAACCACCAGACTGTTTTCCAAACTGCACCAGTTTACAGCCCCTATAATGGGCTCTAGGTGCTATGTCTACCAGGTGAGTTGGCCTGACTATGACTGTCTTGTTCACCACTGTGTCACCAGCCCCTCGGTGACCTGACTCAGCAGGTGCTTTGTAAATGCATATTGAGTGAAAGAAGTGAGTGGACGGGTTCTTTTGAATCTGCTGCCCATGGATAATGAACCTGAGACTTCCCTTCAGACTCTGCCCTTAGAATCTTCTCTGAATCTCTCTCTGATCCTCTTGCTGGGCACAATCTTGAGTTGCTCTTTCTCATAGCCTCACACTCCCTGGCTCTCCTCCTGTGTGACGCAGAGTCCCTCCAGGGTTCAGAGGGTCTTAGTCACCCCTGTACCACCAGCTCCTCATGCAGGGCTTGGCACAGAATAGATGCTCTGTGAGGGGAGCCACAGGGGGAATTTGTGGTGGGGGGTTGTTTTGGGTAATCAGTGAAGCAACAGGGAGAGTATCTGGCCCCACAGAGGGTGAAACTGTTGCTACCAAGTCTCATTTCCAGTCCTTGAGGCTCCCTAGAGAGGAAAAAGAGATGGAGGGCTCTCCTCCCTGGCTGGGCTGCCACTCATCTTCTGTGCTTTCCCCGGACCAGGAATGTCCTGCACAAAGACTGGTCCACGATGGGGAGGCAGAACCCAGGCTGGGAGCCTGATGAGAACAGACATTATAGGGGCCCCATGAACTTTCTCTAGGACACGTGCAGGGGGCCATGCGGTGAGGAGGCCTATCTACAACAGACACGTGGTTTTTTAATGTGGCAAGTGACTTGTACACTATTGGGGTGTGATGTGCAGTTTTTAAGTCTAATTTGTATGGGTCCACGTTTATTCCACAGGCCACTAGCAAATTGTTCATATGTAGTTTTCCCATTTACATAACCACCTACCTTTTCACCCCAAGTTCCCAAGTTCCCCAGCTTCCAGCCCCAAAGGCGGCTTATTTGTTCTCCCTCAAAGGAGGTTCCTCCTCTCAGACCCACAGAGCAGGTTGAATCATCCTGATTGCTGTAACCTGTGACCAGTTAGTTTATTGGGAACAGACAAGCCCAGAGGCTCTTTGGCAGAGACTTGGATCCCTGGGAGGGTGAGGCTTCTGTGGAAGCAGCCCTAGGGGCGGGGCCTCTGGAGGGATGGGGTCAGCCCAACACCTCCTCCTCCCTCAGCCCCTGAGCCAGAGCCTCAAGTTGGCCGGTCAGCCCCCCATCGCTGCAGCCAGGAAAACGCATTCATATCAGACCCAAAGCAAGAGGGAGTAAAGGGAGAGGTGGCTGTCTACAGAAGTGGGGGCGGGGCTTGACTTCTTTGAGCAAATAATGTCAGCTCTCAATTGTCCCTACATCAAGTGAAAATTCCATGTCCCCTTGCCTTTGTTCTAGGCGTATCTCCACCATCAACGGCCAATGGGAGCTCAGGGAAGAGACGCATTTTCATAGCGTGAGCTCAACATATTTGAGCAGGAAAACCTAGGGCTAAAGGCCACCTATGGATTCTGTGTTAACTGAGAGGGCCTGGATAGGTCCTGAGTGATCCCCAAATCCTGGCTTTGGAATTCAGAATGGGATTTTGGAATATCTCCTTTTGACATTTGCAATAGTGCATTTTTTAGGTGGGTGTTAAAAGAAGTTCACTTTTCTTAGGTGCATGAGAATCAGAGGTAAGGGAGGTGGGAACCTCCAGGGTTCGGGGGAGGCTGGCTTTGTGGGGAAACTTCCATGATTTAATCCGCAAAGCAGAACTGTGATGTGCGCAGTTGGCCTTCTCATCCGCAAGAGAAGTGGTCAGTGGCTGTTGCCATTCTCTTGGCCACACTAGGGACTGACTGTCAGCAGTCTAGGGGGCATAGCGATGCATTCTCTTTCCTTACATCCCACCGCCGCCCCCAGGGCCTACTTCAAGTCTGCACACAGATAAGTAAAAATGACTGATGTGATGGACCTGAGGAATGGCTCCCGGGGAAAACCTGATACAGGAAGGTGAGGTTTGGAATGTCCTGGTGTGCTGCCCTGGTAAGCGTGGGCGACATCCAGGCTGAGGGCTAGTGCCTTGCATCCTGGACTCCCAGCCTCTGAGGCAGTGCTAACACTTGTGGCAGGAGGAGCTGCCCCCAGTCCCTAGCTTCATGCTGGAGCAGTCCGGGCGCCCCTGTGGCTCACAGGGGATGTAGAGTTCACCGGTGCTCATGGCGCTGCAGCCCCCACTGCTCTTGAGGCCGCTGGTGCAGTATTCGGTCCTCAGCATGGGCGTGCTGACCACACATGGCTCGTACAAGACCGCACCTTTTGAGCTGCTCACAGCTGCGGGAATAGAAAAGATGCTCAAGGCCCCGCACTGCATGACTAAGGGCATTGCCCCGATCCCTTCAGTCAGGCCATGCCCCCCTCTTGCTGCCACCACCTGTAAGGAACCCTCCCCTCTCCCCACCCCCACCCCCAATTCCCACTCCAGCTACAAGTGCCTATAAGGTCCCCAACCATTCTCTATTCCCAGAGCCCTGACTTCTGTTTCACCCTCTCTGTTTCCACTTGTCTGAGCTGCTTCAAATCCTCTTTCTCCAGAAAAGCATCCCGTTGTCAGACCTGCTCCTCATTCTGACTCCCAAAGACTTAGTTGCCCTGCAGGAGAGCTTCTCCCTCTGACCAGAGGTCCCGGCAGGAGGCAAGCCGAGGTCTGGTCAGGAGGTTGATTAGCCCCCAAGACCCCAGAGCCCCAGAGATGCATCTACTCACAGATATTCACAGGCCCAGTGCCTTCACACAGCCTGGGGTGAGAGGAAAAAGACACAAAATCACTGTATAGAAGTAAACAAGACCAATAACTCTAGTGCTCCCCTCTCCCCCACTTCTTCTGTCCAAACCACAGACCACATCCATGAGAAGGACCCTCAGACTGTGAGCTGTTCTGGGTTTTCTATGACTGCGGGATGGGCTATAGCAACAGCAACCTGAGGACAGAGAGTATCCACACCTGGGGCCCACTGTTGACTAACCTGTGCTCCTCGCCCTCCAGCAGGCGCCTGTAGGTGGCGATCTCGATGTCCAGGCCCAGCTTGGAGTTCATCACCTCCTGGTACTCCTTGAGCAGGCAGGCCATGTCCTGCTTGGCCTTCTGTAGGGCGGCCTCCAGCCCGGCCAGCTTGCACTTGGCGTCATTGAGGGCTGCCTCACCCTGCTGCTCTGCCTGGGCCACAGCAGCTTCCAGATTGCAACGCTGGGGGAGAGGGCACAGAGGGCATTATTGGGGGGTTAGGGGCCCTGGGCTGACTCTCAGAGAGAACATGGCTAGTGTGAGATAATAGAGTATATATACACAGAACTCCTAAAACCCTTGTGATTTCCTAAGTGATAAGAGCATTGGAAATACCTTTTGTTCTAATATTTGGTTTTGGACCCAGAGCTCCTAAATTCCTTGGGATTTCCTGAACGACAGCGGTGTCTTTTGTCCTAATGAGTGACTCTGGGTGGGCCTCTGGGTGGTGCCTTGGTGAGGGTGGGTCAGAGAGACCAAGCCATGATTACAAGCCTGGAATTTTCAGTCTCACCCTCCATCCCCCAGACTGGGGAGAGGGGCTGGAAATAATATCACGCCCACATGAGGAAGCCTCCACAAAAATTCCACATGTGGGCTTCCGAGGCTTCCAGGTTGGGAAACACAGGGAGGGGTTGGAACAGTGGTGCCCTCAGGGCACGGAAGCTCTGCGCCCCTTCCTACATACCTCCCCTATGCATCCCTCCCATTTGCATGTTCATTTGTATCCTTTATCAGCTCCTTTTATTACAAACTGGTAAACAGCAAGTAAACTGTTTTCCTGAGCTCTGTGAGCTGCTCTGGAAAATGAATCAAACCCGAGGAGGGGCTTCTGCTTTACAGCAGATTGGTCAGAAGCTCAGGTGACAACCTGGACTTTGGGGCAATCTTGAGGCACTTGGGGGAGAGCCTTACCCCGGTGGGACCTGATACTCTTCCCAGGCAGTGTCAGAACTGAGTTACATTGTAGGACCCCAGCTGGCCTCACCTGGGCTTTGACATTCTCGATTTCTTGCTGCAGCCGCTGGATCAGCTTGTTCATTTCCTGGATCTCATTCTTGCGGTTGCGGAGGTTGTCACAGTGGGTCCCGGAGATCAGCCGCAGCTCCTCATACTGCGGGACTGAGAGGTCAGAACCCTGGGGCCTTGCTGTGGTCCCTCCCAGCCCCCTTGCTCACTGCCTGAGTCTCTCCTCCAATGACTTCCTGGCTCAGGCGCTCCCTGGATTCTCACACTTGCTCTGTTCCCCATCCCGTCTCCATTTCTGGTCAGTCTCTGAGGTCCTTTTCTGGGCTGCTCCTTAGTTCCTTCTCACCTCACAGCCCTGCACAGTCAGGCTTATTAAAATGTCCTCCAATCTCCAAGCTCCCCTCCTCTCTGTTTAGCTGTTCTGAGGCTTGTCGTTTTCTCTCTGCACCAGAGCCCAAAGGTCTCCCTCCCTTTTAGATGTCCCTCTGGACTTTAGAAAGGGTTTCTGTGCTCCGTCTGGGATGCCTAAGAGACAGAGGACTGAGGAGAGACTATGTCAGCCCAGGGTGAGCACGATTGTATATTCTCCTCCAAAGCAATGGGAAACAAAATGAAACGTTCCTTTGACATAGGGGTGACTCAGTTGCCATGTTTCTTTTGCCCTTTGCTCTTCCTTCTGCCTGAAATGAGCATGTGGTATGACAGTCATCTTGAGACAGGAGGCAACCATGAAAATCAAAGCAATGTGAAGGGTGGCAGAACAGAAAGCTATAAGGAGCCCGTGTCCCTGAAGGTGACATAGACCCCCTGGGTCATCGTGGGTAGTCTATTTCTGTACTTCAAGTTATTTGAGAAAAAAAGTGAAAAATGAATTTAACTATTTAAAAAAATTTGAATCCTCACAGTTAATTATAATTTAAAAATAATAGAATTGACTTAGGAAGATGGGAAACAGATTGTTTTCTCTGAGCCACTTGACTGATGAGCAGCCCAGGAGAACAGCGGGAGGAGGGACCAGCCACCTGGTGTGGATGGGCCACAGAGTCCCTGGGAGCTGACTTCAGGCCAGCGTTTGATACCTTTGTTCCAGGGCAGAACCTTGCTGGAGGCATTCTCTGGGCCCCATTGCCTTCAGAAAAGAAGTCCAACGCACTTAGCACAACTCTGAAGAGTTGCTGCCATCTGGCCCCATGCTACCCCATCCAGCCCCATCTCCTTGTGGTGCTTCATACTGGAACCTCACTGTCACGCTTCTGCATCCTGCTCGGCTGCCCCTCAGCTGGACGCCCCTCCCCTCATGCTCGCTTACTGCACTCGTGCTTGGCCTTCAAGGCCCAGGTCAACACCGCTGCCTCTGCCTTTCCAGACACTTCCTGCGACCTTGCTGTTCTGTTTGGTTGGTTACACGTTTCTCTCCCGTGGACTGTCATCTCCTGTGCACAGGGATGGTCTGACTCCTAGTATCCTCATGGTGCCACACCCCTCGGTAAGGCCATCCTTCCCTGACTACCTTACTGGAAATCATACTCCCACAGCACTCCCCATGCTTCACCCTGGTTTATTTTCTCCGTAGCATGCATCACCTTCTAACATACATGTACTTATTTGTCTTGCTCGTTGTCTGTCACTCCCTGGCCCTGCCTCTAGAATGAAAGTGACACGAAGGCAGGGATTGCTGCCTGTTTTGTCCCGGTTTAGAATCCAGCATCTAGAACAGCGCTTAGCACATGATGGATGCTCAGGAAGCAGTTGTTGAATGAGTAAGTGGATGAGTGAACGAACGAATGAATTAATGGTGCCTTTCACAGATAGGGCAGGTGAGACTGAGGTGATAATATTTGTTCAATCAAATTAACCTTGGGGACACCAACTATCCTTATAGCAAGCCCCTAATTACCTAAGTCTGGGGCCACCTTAATCACCTTCCTGCTCCACCATTAGTAACCACTCCATGCCATTAGCCTCCCCTGACTCCTTGAAGCCCAGAGCCCTCTTTGCCATTATTGCCAATTAGTACTCCTTGAATTTATGTTGAGGGAGTCTGTGAGTAAATAAAGCTGGGGCCCCCTGGCACCCTGATGACAGGCCTGGGCAGCCTGTGGGGTCCACTCCCACACGTTCCGCAGGCACCTGGCCCGGGGCCTGGCAGAAACAACAGGGGCTAGGATTTATGGGGTTCCCTGTCTTTGTGACATGGCATGACTCTCTCATTATCTTCTCACCCACTTTCGGGGGAAGTGGTCTAGGGCGCTCTCCTCCCCCGGGCCTCACCCGGCACTGGTACCAGGCCTCCGCTTCAGCTTTGCTGCGGCTGGCGATTTCGTCATACTGGGCCTTGATATCAGCGATGATGCTGTCCACGTCCAGCACCCGGCTGTTGTCCATCTTCACGATGACCGAGGTCTCTGAGATCTGAGACTGGAGCAGGCAGATCTCCTGCGGTGGTGGGGGGTGGCGGTGGGGAGGACCAGTGAGCTCTTTGAGGATAAAGGGGGAGGACCTGCTCTGACCTTCCCATAGCAGCTTTGCACAGACTTTGTGGTGGCTGTGACGGGCCTTCAATCACCAACCTGCTCCCTGTCCCACTCCAGTTACACAGAGACCCGAGAGCCGAGGCCTGGGCGTCGGACTTCCGGGGTCTCACTGCTGAGAGCCAGCTGTCCCAGGCCGACTTCTCAGTCTGCTTGCCCTGAAATGTACCTGCTGGGCTGGAGCTCTCCCACCATTGTCCTCACGAACTGGCCCTGATCTACCACCTGTGGGCAGCGTGGCTGCAGGTACCTCCTCGTACAGGCCTTTCAGGAAGTCGATCTCCTGGACCAGAGCCTCCACGTTGGTCTCCAGGTCAGCCTTCATCAGGAAAGCCGTATCCACATCCTGTGATTGGAGCATTGACAACTGTAACCGGGGGCTGGGGGAATGTGGGAGGGCCACCCCTCCACCCGGGGGGCCACTCCCCGCAAGCTGGTGGCAGGTGACAGGTGTGGGACCCACCTTTCCTCACAGAAGCTCATGTGAAAGTGAAGAGGTCACAAAGCCGAGAATGGAGGGAGGGGTCCACAGCCCCAAGACCACATGCCTGGGCCTGGCCCCCTGTTGGGGAAGGGCCTGGAAGGTGTGGAGTTTAAAGGAGCCTTGAATGCAGTGTCTCTGCGCTCACTGTGTGGGGCTCAGGCCAGAAAGTACCTCGCTATCTGTCTGAGAGCTCGGGCAGTGGTTTTCGTCTTTTGGGGCTTGAGTTGAGAGTTTTTGTTTGGATTTGGCATCAGCTGCATGTCCAGCTTCTTGGGCAGGTGTGGACACACCCTGACTAGCTCTGGCCCCTGTGAATTAGGAGGCAGAAGCCCGGTCAACCACCACCCCTTTGAGCAAAGGGCGGGAGAGGAAATGCTGGCCCCCTCTTTCTCAGGGTCACTCAGGCTGGCACCGGGGCAGGAGGGGGAGAGACCCTTCTGCGGTGGGTGGACTCGTTTTGACACAGCCCAGTGGCTGAGTGTGCTGAGGCCCGCTGGGCCAGCTCCGGGGGCTTCCTCCCTCTCTGAGCCAGCTCCTCACCTTCTTTAAGGCCACGAACTCATTTTCCGCACAGGGCCGCAAGGCCAGCTCCTCCTCATATCTGGTGGAATGGGCAAGAAACAATGTTTGAGTCAACCCGTGGGCTTTGGAAGGGGCCTTGGAATCAGACCTGAGGGAAGGGGCCTTTGGGCACATCTGCCTTGCACTGACCGCATGCCCCCAGGAGTCGCCAGGTGCAGCCCTGTCTCTGGACACCTCTAGCTGCTCCAGCCATTCCAGACTGGTGATTAATACCATAGCCTGTCATTAGCCACATTGCCAGTTTACCCCACTCCCCAGTAGCCTGCTCCTGTGACGAATCATCCTCTGGGAAGTCCTTCCTCAGGCCAACTTCATTCTGTCTTGGTGCTGAGGAAGCCCACTTTATCTGATCATTTCTTCTGGGGGGTGGTGGAAGCTGGCGGCCTGTTGCTGGCAGAGCTGTCTGTGCGGGGTTGTTCTGAGAGCTGGTTGTAGTCACTGAAATCCCAGCTGCCCCCGTGCCCTCCTCACTGGAGAGTCCTGAGCCTGCCTCCTACCTGTAGCTCTGTTGCAGAGGTAGCAATTACCAGGTTACCAGACCCATAGGCACAGCCCAGCTATTTGCTATAGGTCCTCGCCCACTCACTGCCCCCTAAGGCAACGGAATCAGGGTCAAGAGGTACAGTCTGGCCAGAATGACTCAGTTTGAAGAGCAACTTTGATCCATTAAAAGCTCCACTGAGCTTCCTGACGCCCAGGCTTCCTCTTCCCCACAGTGCTCTGCTGCAGCTGGGCGCTCGCTGCTGGAGCTTATGCCCTGGTGTGAATCCCCTGGTGTCAAGTGCGAGTCCTGTGACTTTCAGTAAGTGACCTGGCTTCTCTGTGTCTCAGTTTCATATTCTGTAGAATGAGGATAACACTGGTCCTGGCTGTTGTGAGTTAACATATCACATGAGTTAATATCTGCAAAGTACTAAGTCTGACATGGGGTACGTGCTATGTCAGCGTTGGTTATTGTTGTTAAAATACCATCCAATGTCATCCTTCTGCTGTCCCACTTTTAAAATCCAGAGTCATTGTCTTCAGCTGCAAGCCAAGTCTCTGACCACTGTGTGTCTTACCCCTTGGAAAGGCATTGCTCCTGCTGAGAGGGCTGGCCTTCACCCTCCCCCGGCCTTGCCACACATTGCCTGTAACAGTCTGCTGGAGTTGTCTCCTCTAACTTGTCTCACTCTGGCCCTTCCTTGTCATCTGCTCCTGTCCTTTCTCCTTTTCCAAGGTCTACTCTGGACTCTTCTTCTATAAGAAGTAACTGCAATGAAACACATTCTTCAAGGCCCTGAGCAAATGGCACCTTCCCCAGGATGCATTCGTAGGCCCCTTCTGCTCTCTCATTCTCTTGGGATTCCTCCACCATTCTGGCCTGCACCACCTTGTAGCTATCGGTGTGTTTACTCAAAGGTCTGTGCTTACTGGGCTGGGGCATCTTGAGGGAAGGAGCCAGCCTTTTCCATCAATCATGAGTAGGCATGTGGTTGACACCTGCAGCAAGAGTGTCCCCTATGTGGCTCTACTCCATTGACCCACGTCCCTTCTGAACTGTTGCTCTTAGAATACTCACACCGTTTCTTGTTAATGGAAATGTGTCTCTCTCAACCTTCCCCCAGCAACATGTGCTCCATAGGATTCTGATCCTGGGAGAGACCCACTTAGGACTATTAAGCAATTTACTTGGGCTTCAGCTTCTTGTAAGCACTGGATCTACAAGCCTTCAAGGTCTTCATTAACATATGCTCATCAGTCACCTTCTCCTGCAGTGAGTCAGGACAGAGCTGCAAGTCTAGCAGGTTAAAGACCTTCACCAGGAAGAACTGGGCCAGGAGACAAGGGAGACAGAGGATCTGCTAGTGACAGGAGGGGTGAGGACTTCCAGCTGTGACCGAGGAGGGGTTGGGGGAGCAGGGGGGGGCAGAGTCAGGGGGTGAGAGGAAAAGTGAGATAGATTAGTCTGAATGTGGTTCAAAGAGATGATGAGAGGAGGCTTATGAGAAGAAAGAACAGAGGGAACAAAAGCTTGGAAGGAAGAGGGTTTGGGGATCTGTTTGGGGAATAAGAGGTAGTTCAGGAAATGCCAGGGGATTGGTGGAAGATTAAGTGGAACAGGTGGATTGGAGCAGAGCTCTGGAATGCCAGAAATGGCAGGAGAAAAGATCATGTTCTACTGAGTGGGAGGACGGGCCTTCCTTTGGCAGGGTGGTGGGAAGGGGGATGAAGACAAATGCACAACCTCAGAGTTTCTACCAGGTGCCACATGGGCAATATCCTAGAGGCTCTGCCTATGTTATCCTACCTTAGTGTTCTACCAGCTGTGAACCAAGTTTTAGGTTCCCCTGAAACTTTTTGTGGATGGGGAGACCAAGGCCCAGGTTGTTTACATAGCTCGCCCTAGGATCCCTGGCGGGGTGAAGTCAGAGCAGACTCACTTCTTCTTGTAGCCCTCCAGCGTGTCCTGGAGGCTGCAGAGCTCCGACTCCAGCCCGGCCCGGTCCCTGGCCACGCAGTCCAGCTGCTTGCGGAGGGTGCAGATGTAGGCTTCGAAGATGGGCTCCATGCTCTTCTGGCAGCACCTCTGCTGCTGCATGAACTGCCACTTGGTCTCCAGCAGCTTATTCTTCTGCTCCAGGAACCGGACCTGCAGTCAAGAACAGGATGTCACCGGGCAGCGGGTTCCCTGGGGACTATGGCTCAGAGAGAATAAATCAATGGTGGTGTGGCAGTGAATCAGTTTCGGCTCTCTCTTCTGACACACCACTGCCGATATGCTAAACTGACAGTCTCTGCATAGACTGGCACCTGAGGTTATGTCTCTGTGTCTCCCCCACCTGGGGGAGCTTATAGGACCCACCTTCCACCCAGGGGTTGCACATTGTAGTGGAAAGAACACTGCACCAGGAGGCCTGGGGCAGGTCCTCCTTCCAGCCCTGCCTGCCTCCACCAGCCTTGTAAACTTGTCCAGGCCACCCCATCCCTTTAAGCCTTGTTTTCTTTCCTAAAGCTCCTACTGGGGGTTATGCATAGGAAGCACTTTAAAGATCTTCATACTAATGTAAGCAGGTGACATTCCAGCTGGGAATAGTCAGGCTCTCTTCAGTTACAGCCCAGGGACACTTGGGGGAGAAGGTCCTATCAAAGGCTCTGTCCCAAGACTTCAAGTTTCAAGCTCTTTCACATGCTGCCCCATCCTGCATGGCTGCATCCCAAACAAGTCCCTGTTGCAGTAACGTGGTGAGCTGCTGGCCCCCTCCTCCATTTCTGTGCTTGGAAACCTAGATGAGGAGAAGCTGAGTGAGTTGACCATGGTCACCCAGCTAGTCGTTGGCAGAGGAAAACAGTCTCCAGTCCTCGCCCTGGGACTTTGCATATGGTGCATTATTTCCCAGGAGAACTGTAGGGGAAGTAACATGGCCCTACTTCTGGTCAACGCCATGTCACCAGGAGGCTTCCAGCCCCACAGAGGGTGGTGTGATGTTGCTGACAGCCAGGGCCCGTGTTCTAGAACTTACGGGTTTTGAAAATTAAACTGTGTGACAGTTCCCATTTACTAAAACAAGTTCCCTTTTGGAAGGCTTTTGCATGTATTACCTCCTTTAATTTTCCCACCATCATTCCCTTTCTTCCCCGCACCGTCCCCCGAGGCTGGTTTGCATGGGGCCTCAGAGTCACAGTCAGTAGTGAAGCCAACACCTGAGTCCAGGTCTCCTGATTTCTGGCCCAAGACTCTTTGCACTAAACCTTGGGGTCACCAGAAATGCCTGTTCAGGCCTTGGCATGTGTCCTGACCCCCAAGAGACTTTCTGGGGTGTGAGGACAGGCCCAGAGGCAGCTGAGGTTGACAGGCCAGTATAGTGCCTCCCAAAGATAGCACACGACCATCCCCGAAGGTTTTCAGAGTTGTGGCTCTGGGGTTGGCAGATATAAGACTTTGCTCATGACCACCTTTATCCCTAGCTCTCACTGCTCCACCTTCTCCTCATCACAGGCCTAAGCTGATGGCAAATTCCGAAGTCAAAGGCCCACCTCCAGGCCCAAGGGTCTTTGCTCACCGCTAGGCCCAAGGTTCTTGCCCCAGCTCAGGCAAGAACTGCTTAGAAAGCAGTTCTATTGTTAAAGCCTCATCAAGGCCTCTTAGGTCGTTCCTTTCAGTATCTATCATCGCTTTGGAAGTCCCTCTTGTAGTCTGACCTCAGGCAACCTTGGTAATTTTATCAGATAATATCCGGAGAGAGATATTAAAAACAAAGGATCTGCAAATAGAAATATTGAGTGCTGAGCCTGATCTAACCAGCTTTCAATGATTAGTGCTCATGAGTACAGGAGAGGCCCATAGATGAACTGGCTTCTCTATGGCCAGTCTTTTCCTGTCTCCTGGACCAGACACAAGGTGTTCTCTGCATCCCATGGTCCTGGACCTCTTACCTTATTGATGAAGGATGCAAAGCGGTTATTGAGGCACTTGATCTGCTCCTTCTCATCCCTCTTCACATTCTGCACAGTTGGGTCAATTTCCAGCTGAAGTGGGACTAGTAGGCTCTCATTGATGGTGACGGGAGTGATGCAGGCAGGAGCCCCACAGGTGGCCCCCACTCGGTATCCGAAGCCAGGAAGGCCACACCTGGAGGCAACCCGGGGCCTCCCAAAGCCCACGTTGCACAGGCTCCGTGAGCGAAGGCAGCCCAGGACCCGGAGGCCCCCGCCACCCCCAGGCTGGCATGCCCCCGAGCTCACTGCATAGTGGGTGACCCTCTGGGGGAAGACAGCTGAGCATGAGCTGAAGCTCCGACTGCCACATCTGGAGCCCTGCTGGTAGGATAGGCACGACATGGCAGGAATGAGAGGCAGAGAGGCAGGCCCTGATGGGGAGAACGGGAAGCAAGAGCTGTCAAGTCAGCTCAGCTCCCACCCTTTTATCTGGCAGGGGCTGGAGGTCTGAGCTGGGCCAGACCCCCAATCACCATTAAATCAGGTTTATGAGCTTGGGAGATTGGCAGCTCTAAGTACCCAGGTGGATAATTAGGGTAGCAAAGAGTTGAAAAAAGGAGCCAGTGGTCAGTGCTGGCGGCCCTATAAAAGTCCCATGTATCCTCCTTCCTTGTTAACAGGGGTGATGAAAGGGGCATATTCAGAGGGTCAGTCTCAAGGAAAGGGAGAGTTGGGACTTTATGCCAGTCCAAGGGAAGGGGCATGAATTACATTCCCTGGCTGCCCTGGCTCAGAGGCCAAGTTGGATATGCTTGAGGATGCTCTCTTTCCTGAAGGATGTTTTTATGTTTCTGCAGATGCTCCAGACCCAAGTCCCCTAAGGACTTCTAGGGGATCCTGGGAGTTTCCAGGGCAGAAGGGTTTTAGGTGGGAGAAGCCCTCAGGCCAGCCGGAGTCCTGTCTCTGGCTCCCTTAATCTCCTGTCTCCCCAAGGGCTCCTGAGATAAAAGACTCCAGACACCGAGTCTTGTCTCTAGGGCCTGTTTAGTCCAGAAAGGCCATAGGGGACTCAAGAAGAGCTGCCTTGTGCTTGAGGAGAGGAGAGGAGAGGAGAGGAAGGAATGCTTTCCCCCAAACATGCATCGATGTCAGCCTTTAGGTTGGGGTCCATGTGGCTGTTTCTTTCCCTTCTTACCCACCCCATCCCAAGCCTCCCTGAGGTAGACAAAGCCTGCTCTGGCCCGAGGACATCTCTGGGGACAGTCGCTGCCCGCAGGAATTGTTTAAGTGTATTTGGGATAGAGGCCTTCTCCCTAGCATCCAGGTCACAGCTCTTTGAAGATGCTCCAACTACTACCCCCATTCTGTTCCCTCCCTCTTTCCATCAGTCCCATCAGTGAAACTGCAGCTGTGGCTAATGGGTCTTTCCCTTCTACATGTGACTTTTTCTAGGTCAGAATCAACTCAATAATAATAACAGTAAGAACATTTATTGGGTGTTTACTCTGTGCGGGACCACCCTGACTTCTACATTTATTATCTCATTTAATTCATATACTAGTAATGTCACCACGATGGAGTTTCTAGTTTACAAATAAGGAAAGTGAGGAGCAGAGTGGTTAAACTCTGCCAAGGCTGCATCAATCCCATTCTTTCTGATGTCACTGTGCTCTGCTGCTCCTTGGCTTCCACGCCTCTAGATTAGGAGACTGGAACTCAATCAGAAATTCTCAGTCTAACTGTGACATTTCACAGTGTCCCCTTTTGCGGAGTCTTGACTTTGGTCCCAGCACGCTGAGGAGGGAAGATGGGGGCTGGGGCAGGTGAGGTTTGTCATGAGACGATGGGTGATGATGGTGTTGGTCCTGTGCATGGTGCAGCGGAAGGGGATCTCACTGTGCCCTGTAGGAAATGTCACAGAACTGGTCCCTGGAGGTGGTGTTAGTGTGGATGGTGATGCTGAGAAGCCAGACGAGGGAGTAGACTCCCTCCAGACTCTTGTCAGAGGGAATGAATGAGATAGTGGGCAGACCTGCGAGACTGGGTTCACTGGGGCAGTGCAGACACTGGAGAGCATCCTCCGGACACATCCAGGCCAGAGCATGGTCTCAATGACCATGTTGGACTCCCTGGAACCAGGACCAGAGCTCTGGGGCAGAGAGTAGGGTAGTTCATTGGAAGGCACCTGCTTCTGGAGAACACCAGGTCCAACGTTGCCCTTTGAATGTGAGATAAGACAGACTCGGTCAACACCCAGAGAGCTCGGTGATATTTTATTGAAGCTATTTCAGGGAACAGGCAGGTACAGGGAGCCAGTAGTAGAGAAAGGTTTGAAAGGATTATCATGGGAGTGACTGTTCTCAGAAGCAGTGGACGCTCCTGTCTTCATGCTGGCAGCACGCAGCCCGTCTCTCCTCGCCTTGTGAGTGCTTTTTTTTTTTGAACACATGGGAGGTGTGTGAGGGTTTACAAGTCTTCTAGCTAAATAGGAAACCACCTGCGATGGCCACCTCAATATTTCTGTGCCTCCGCTGCTCCCCTATTCCACCGACACCCTATTTCTGCTTCCTTCAAGGGGCTGAGCAAGGCATCCTCAGGGAACACCTAAGGAAGAGCTGCCTCGCTTCTGAGTCTGCTCTCTTGGGCCTTCCCTGTAGGGCAGGGTGTTTGATGGACTGACTGCTTTCAAGAGTTTCAGTGGCTAAAGCTGCGGATGGGCAACGCCACAGCTAGACATTTCAGAGACAGGAGTATAGAAGAATGGCCAGGAGAGAGAAAGAGCAGGGACTGTATTGCCAAACAGAAAAGAGGGGAAGTGAAAGGAAGAAAAGAGAAATAAGGAGAGATGAGGAGGGGCGCGGGGGAGAGAGGAGAGGTGGCAGAGGATGAGTAGAAAAGGTCTGAGGGGGGAAAGAGAAGGTGGAAAGAGCAGGGTAACAAAGGGAAGAAAACTTTCCAGAAAAGAGGTGATGTGGCAGCACAGAGGAGGAGAAGTCCTGTGCCTGTAGGTCACTGCAGGAGGGCTCTCCTTGGGCAGTTCTAGGACAGGCTGATTGGGTTCTTTCCCATGTGTGTCTGTCGTAGGCACCTGGTGCTGAGCTGTCTCCCACACCTTCACGTGAGCCTGCCTCCTCGCCCTCAGCATCAGGACATTTCTGTTCAGGCCCATAATTCTAATGTTGGCTTAAATGAAGCAGATTTGGGAAGAATGTGGCTATAAAATATTATCAAATGCAGCCCTGGCCATGGAGAACGTTTGGATTCTTGATACAAGTATTTCATTCTCCTATGAATAATCAAGAGTTGGCAATGTTTTAATGGGTGTTGATTTCTCTCTCAAATAGTCTGCTGGTGGTGGTTGTCAGGGGTAGTGGCTGGCATCCTGGGTGAGGACAAGAAGGAAGGAGGTGAGGAGGCCATATGTGGGCAAGGCTGGCATTACTTCCTGGTCTCAGTGGCCTGCAGGAGAAGTGTCTGTCTGTGTGAGAAAGCTCACGTGAGAACTCTGGCCTAGACTGCACTCAACTTTCTTGGCGCACCAAGGTCAATTCTAAGCTTCCCATGAAAGACTGTGGTTACAGTGGACCTGTCTCAGACAGGAGGAGGGAGACCCAATTGCATCCCCGCTCTGGAAGCTACTGAAGGGCAAAGTCCCACCCAGCCCAGGTCTTGGCTCAGAGCAGTTGAATCAGCGTTAGCTAGAATGGATGCCCCTAGCCCCTGGAAGGCCCTGGGATGGGGAGTGAATGGGGTCCCTCTGTGGGGGCCTGTCTGGAAGCAGAGGGATGGACAAGGTGACCCTGGAATGCACAGGCCACTTTCCCACTCCCTATGTGAACTACTGCCAGGATTGACTTTGTGCAGGGGGTGTCAGCAAAGCGGCAGGCCTTGGGGCTGGGAACTGGGAGTCTCGTGGGGTGGGGTGGGGTGGGGTGGGGGAGGCAGCAGAGGCAGGTGGGGCTTTTTAGCTCCTATAACTCTTCTTGGTGGACGACGTCTTGGAGATGATGCGCATGCTGGAGGTGCTGCCACCCATGTTGCGGCCACTGGTGGAACTGAAGCCCCCGCTGCCACTGCCATAGCAGAGGCCGCTGCTGTAGCCGCTCCCGCCCACACAGAGGCCGCTGCCCCCGCTGTAGCCTGTGCCTCCAGAGGAGGAGACCACGGCTGTAGAGAGAAGGCATGGGTCACACTGGCAGTCTCCTCCCGTTTCCCAAGACCCACCCTCCCTGGGTCTGGTGCCCATGGCACTTCCTCAGGGCACAGGAATCTCCTCAGTCCCCCAGGAGCAGAGTCTAAGGGTGGGCATGAGCTCCCCGTCCCCATCGCATGCTGCTCAACATGAGCATCTGCACAGGACATCACACTTTTCAAATGCCTTCACAGCTGCGACCACATTGTCTCAATAGGCCTGAGAGGACACTATTACTTTAAGCACCCCCATTTACAAAGGAGAAACTAGAGGCACAAAGAGATTGAGTGGCAAGCCCAAGGTCACCCCTGCCAGAAACCAAGGCCTTAGGCTCCTAGGCTGTGTTCACTCCTCATCTACACCAGGGGCTCTCACTGAGTGAAGGCCCCACACTGTGAGGGGGTCATAGACTTCCAAGTTGGAAGAGGCTGGAGGCCATTCAGATGACCCTCCCCAGGAGTTGAGTCCCTTCTACAGCATCCTGAGTCTACCTCTGCTCAGATGCTTTCAGCAACAGGGAGCTTACTATCTCTAGATGCAGCTCCCACAGCCTGTCAAACATGTGACATCCCTCTGAGTGTATGTTTCTTTAGGGGAATTATTCTAGTTCCTTCTATTAAGCTCTCCCCCATCCTGGTTCTCCAGCCTCTCTAATTCGGTCTGACCCACATGGGGCCCAAGGGATTCAACTTCCCGGACACAGGACTCCATGAATGCCACCTGCTGGGACATTATGCGAGATGATTCCTCCCCATCTCCCTGCCATTGCCTGAGGCCAAGCCAGGCCAGTCGCTGCTCTGCTTGTTCCATTAATTTGCTCGACTTTTTACATTTAACCTATCTGAGAACCTCTTGTCAGTTGTGTGAGTTTGAATCCCTGCCAGAACTAGCTGAAAAATCAGGGACCCATTGCTCTGCTAGTAGACCTGTCCTGTAACTGGGGTCCCCTGGGGCCTGGGTGGAGTCATTCCTGTGGACATATGACCCCACTGGAATGGGCCCTAGGTATGAGAAGTCATCACAAGTCTCTCTTGACCCACTGGGAGGAAGGGCCGAAGAAAAAAGGGGTCTCCACAGAGCCCCTAAGAGGGTCTTAATGACGTCCCTAACCCACCCTGTTCATTTTCTAGTCATCAAGTCCTTGTTAGTGATGCTCTTAGCTTCCACTTTGTCTCCCACTTTCCTATCATCTCAAGGCATTTACTCACAGATGTTCACGGGTCCGACACCTTCTCCAGTGAGTCTGTTGCAGGTGGGAGAGAAAGAGAGACATTTGCTGAGACTTTAAAGAGCCCTGGGTTCTTTTTGTTTAGAGTCAACAGCACAGAGCACTTACTGGGTGCCAGGCACTGTGCTTACAAGCTTTCCATTCATCTCATTAGCCTAAGGAAGTTAATGCGAATCTGTCAGGGGGCATCTAGGAGATAAACCCAGTCAAAATATGTAGAGGAATGGGGAGAGGGACCCATGCTCACTAGATAGAGAGGGGCAGTTAGATTTGGGCAACACAGAGCCCCTGAGGCTTGTCCCAGGTGTGGCCTCATTTGTCTTAGGGTCTGGGCAGACATGGCCTTGCTTATGGTCTTCCAGGTAGTCATGGGCTACTTTTCCCTGACACCTTCCCCCTTGGTCTCCTGCCCTGGGTCCAATAGGAGCTGTGGGAGGGGCTGTGATCTCAGGAGGCCTCCAGGGAGCACCTGTGTTTTAACCCTGTTTCTACCCTTGGAATTTCTCCCTGGGGCTTGACACTGTGGGGCTCTTGGCCTCTGTGGCAATACTCTAGTGCTCTGGTGGAGTCTGTTTGAGCTATGGTGGGAGGAAAAGGTAGCCCACCTGCACTCCTCGCCCTCCAGCAGCTTCCTGTAGGTGGCGATCTCAATGTCCAGGGCCAGCTTGACATTCATCAGCTCCTGGTACTCGCGCAGCTGCTTGGCCATGTCCTGCTTGGCCTTCTGCAGGGCCTCCTCCAGCTCGGCCAGCTTGTGCTTGGCGTCCTTGAGGGCCAGCTCCCCACGCTGCTCAGCATCAGCGATGGCGGCCTGGAGCGCGGCACACTACCAGGAAGACACAGGAGTTGGTGAAATCCACAGAGAATGCAGAAAGATGTGGGCTTCAGGTTAAAAAGATGGAGGGCATTTTTTTAAATGGACTTCATGCAAAGGAGGCTGGAGCTTCATCATATTTAAAAATAAGATTAATCTCTGTCCCCCTTGGATAATTTGGGACTTAGCCAGGATAGAGACAATGATTTGGGAGGTCCTTTTCCACACTGAATGTCTCTGGATAGTGGATAAGTAAAGCTGTTCAAAGTTTTTCTTGGATGCCTCCAGAGGACAGAGCCCTTCCTGGAAGAATTGATGTTGGACAGAATTCAGGAAGAAGGTTATAACACCCCTAGAGAGGCAGGAGACCACCTTCCTGGGTGGTCATTCATCTGACGAGGCTTCACTCTGCATGGGCTGAGTTAAGACCAGGCCTAGGTCTGCCTGGGTGCAGGGACTTAGATGGGATGACCTCTGGGAGGTCAGTCCTACCTGCTTCTTCAGGTTATCAATCTCAGAGCGCAGCCTGTGCATCAGCCGGTTCAGCTCAGAGATCTCCATCTTGGTGGTGCGGAGGTCATCCCCGTGCCGGCCAGCAGACCGCTGCAGCTCCTCATACTGGGGAGAAGGAGAGGCAGAAGGCAGGCAGATTCAGGCCAGAGACAAGGAAGCGGTGGTTTCCCAGGGCCCAGAAGGCTTTCCATATGCCACTTGGAGGCCCCTCCCTCTCCCACCCCATTCTCCATCAAATCCATCCCCATCTTCCCTGGCTCTGCTCTCACTCTGTGTCTACAGCTCCGCACCACAGTTGGACCTTTCTTCTTGGATCCCATCTTTTGTCCCTCTCCCTTGGCACCAGGTAGCTCATTCTCAACCTGTAACTCTCTGCTTTTAAAGCTCCTTTGTGTTTGTTTTTCTTGCACCACATCTCATATCCCCAGTGATTCCCCAGCTCAGTGTTTGCTCTAACCTGGAAAATCTCATTGTGTGGCCCAAATCCAACCTTTGTCCCCGCCTCCCCTCAAGGCCCTCAGCTCCAAACAGTTCCACCTTTCTCCTGTGGTTCCAGGAGGCTCAGCCTGCCTTTGTTCCCACCCTCCCTCTCTCATTCCTCCTGACACTGGTGGCTGGTACTGTCCAGCTGTCCCTTGCCTGTCTTCTACAGGGTGTTGAAGGTGTGTCCATACTCCTTGGGGCAGAAGGACTAACTACCTCTTGCCTTCATATGGCTATTCCCCCAGTGTAGCCCAAGAATAGTACAGAGGGTAAACCCCAAGCTGAACTCAGATCTCTTCAACCCCATCAGATTGGGGCATATGAGAGGACAAGGCTCTTATCTAAATTGCCTTTGGAATCCCAGTTCTCCACAATTATTTCATGGACTTGATGTTGACACCTCACCTTGGTCTGATACCAGGACTCAGCCTCGGCCCTGCTGCGGTTGGCGATGTCCTCATATTGGGCCTTGACCTCGGCGATGATGCTGTCCAGGTCCAGGTTGCGGTTGTTGTCCATGGACAAGATCACAGAGGTCTCAGAGATCTGGTCCTGAAGCTGAGCCAGCTCCTGTGATGGGGTCCAAGTGGGAGAACTGAAGCAGGGTGCAGGTGTGTGTGTGCATGTACTTGTGAAAGCATGTGTGTGTGTGTGTGTGTGTGTGTGTGTGTGTGTGTGTGTGTGTGTTGTATGCATGTGTGTTGGGGCACTGTGATCAGGCCCCTGGAACAGATCTTGGTATCAAGGGCAACACATGCACTGTTAGGGTGTAGCATCCTGCTAAGGTCTAAAAGGGCTGGGAAGGATATTAGGGAGGTCACTGGGTTTACTTCCATACTTTATCATCAACTCATCACAGATAACTTTAGCTGCTCCGTCACTCCTGTTGCCAAGGGAATGCACCTTGTTGTAACCTGCCAGTGCCATGATGTCTCATGTTCTGAGGAAAAGAGCCTTTCACACTAAATAAAGAAATCATCTTGTGAAATAAACTGAGTCAGAAGGAGCCAGAAAGCTTTGCTACATCTCAGTTTTGTTTCCCAGCTTCGCTCCTCCCAGCTCCTTGGGGGCGGGAAATGGACACAGCAGAAAGGGCACCAGACTGAAAAATTCAAGTCTTGGATCTTCAAAGCAGGTTAGATAGCATCTCTGTCCCAGGGAGGAGCATTAAATAGTTCATTTTGATGTAGGATGATTTTTGAAACAATAAACACACAATTAATTTGTTAATGATCACTCCTCAGATTCCTCTAGAGCAGTGGTTCTCAACCTTGGCTGCACATTAGAATCACCTGGGAATCTTTTTAAAATCCTGATTTCTGGGCCTCATCCTCTGGAAATTCTGTTTCTTTGTTATGGGGTGGGGCCACAACATTAGTAACAAAGAAACAGAACTTCCGGAGGATGAGGCCCAGAAATCAGGATTTTAAAAAGACTCCCAGGTGACTCTAATGTGCAGCCAAGGTTGAGAACCACTGCTCTAGAGCATTAGTTTAAAAAAATATGATTCTCAGACCAGCAGCATCACTGTCACCTGGGAAGACTGGGCCCCACCCTAGATTTGCTGAATCAGAATTGATGTTTTATTAAGACCTCTAGAAGGCATTGTGAAATTTGAGAATAACTGGTCCAAAACATAAATCTTAAAAAATAACCCATCCTTTCTTTATCAACAATTGGTACATACATTTCCTGCTTCAAGAAATTATTGTTTTGTTGCTATGTCCTGCAATTCCCCATGTGGTTTGTTGGATGGACATTGAACCCATCCAAAGACACAGAGCTAATGATCCTGTCCTTAGAACAACATGACCAACTTCTGTTGGGCACAAACATATGTAACCCCCTGGACATATCGCCTGTCCTTACCAGGCCTACTTGGAGGCACACAATATCTGCTACACTCTCTCCCTGACATCACTGATCCCATCTCTACCCTCTCCCTGTCACTCCCTCTACTCCACCCAACTTGGCCTCTTCTTTGTATTTCTGGGTCCTCAGTTCCTCCAGATTTCTCTTCAGATATCACCCACCATCTGACTTGCCACTGCTCCTTTTGTCATGTTTTTATCATCCGTGGTCAAGGTTAAATTTCTCACCTCACCTGACTCACAACTACCAGATGGAAACTCATTTCCTCTCTAGGTAGGGAAAGTAGCATCTGCTCCATGAATTCCAACCCAGGGATGGGGTGGGGAGCAGAGAGGAGATCAGAGCAGCAGCTTGTAGCCTCTGTGCCCCGCTGAGGCCCCCAGCCTCGAGCCCCTCTGAGGGGGCACAGTGGGCCCTACTTACCGCTTCATAGAAAGCTTTCAGGAAGTTGATCTCGTCCATTAAGGCGTCCACCTTGGCCTCCAGCTCTACCTTGTTCATGTAGGCGGCATCCACGTCCTGGGCACAGAACAGGCCATCACTCTGAGTCTTACCCAGTCGAGGTTAACCAGCTCCTCTGTCGGGCGGGAGAACTTCAGCTCCCAGGAATGAAAGCAGTGCTTTATTCCAGGCTATGGAGTGGGACTGGCATGGGAGGGGGTCTATTCCCTGAGGACCAGGGCTCTCAGGGAATGCCCACTAGGTCGTCAGCTATGCCACCTCCATGTGGTGAGGACAACCCCATCCTGAGCCTCTGAGCTCTCCCAGCCTCTCCCTGAGGCTCTTGGTGACTTCTCCCCCTCCTCATTCTCTCCACCCCTTCCTCCCCTCCATACACCACTGCTCCATTCTCCTTCCTTCAGCTCAGCTCCTGGCTGATTCTTCCCTCCCTCTGTCACCCTCCCCAGCCCCACTAAGCAGGAAGGTCCACAACTCTATGAAACTGATCCCTGTCTTGTGCCTGTCTCCCGAGCCTGCCTTGACATCCCGGAGACTCAGCTCAGCATAAGGCTCATTTGCTTCACCTCTCACTGCACTGGACTCCACATGGGGAGGGGGCTGGTGTCGGGACTTATGACTTGGACTTTGAAGCCCTGGGTCCTGAATATCTGGATAACCTGGGGCAATGTGCTTAACCTCCCTGATCCTGAGTTTTCTCACTTCTAAAGTAAAACCTGTTCCCAAGATTGGTTGCACAAATTAAATAGCCTTGTATGCAAGGCCACTAGCTTAAGTTGCAGCTGTCACTCCTGGAAGGGGCTGCCTAAGGTTTAGAAGGGAGCATCCCTGTCCCCTCACCTTCTTGAGCACCACAAACTCATTCTCCGCCACTGTGCGCTTGTTGATTTCATCTTCGTACCTGTGGGAAGGGTCAGACGTGGACTGATGTTAGGCACAGGGGCTCTGGGAGTGAGGTTAACTGGAGGGCTGTAGGTGGGTAGGAGATGGCGGGTCTGCAGAGCAGACCTAGAAAATGTGCTGCTATAGCAGAGCTCTCCTGCCACACATGTGCCCCCCAAATCCCATATCAACCAACACCCACTTACCCCTTCTAAACAACGCCCAAACCCCAAATAACAACAACAACAACAAAACCCAGCCCTCATTCTTCCTGAGCTTTTCACACAGCTTCGCTCCTTAGAGAGCTTAGGTCCCACGAAGGGGCATGCATGTTTCCTTTTATACCCTGCGGTCTTGTCCCAACCCAAACAGAGGCCATGAGGGGAGGAACAGAGCGAACAGTAGGAGGCGTGCAGTCCTAGGCCTCAGCGGCTTCTGCACCCAATGATGCCCTCCTGCCTCTCTGTTCCGTTCTCAGCCACATTGACCCTGGCCTAGGAAGCTGAATCTTCAGGCTAAGAGGAGCGACCCACCCCCCTCTCCAGTTTCCTCTCTTCCCCTAGGCAGCATCCTCCTTGCTCACTGATCTCTGGGGTGACCCATTTTCTACCCAACCTGTCTAAGTAGTGGGGAGTCCCACCTGCTCAGTGGCTCTGAAGGCTGTGGTTGGGCTTTGTCTCCTTGACCTTCCAGCCCAGTAACCCCAGGCAGGTCACTCAACCTCTATAGATGCCCCTCCCATCTATGAAATGGCATGTCGTTATTTTTTTTTTTTTTAAACCACAAAGCACAGTCCCACACGATGCATATAACCAGATCTACCCTGCTTTTTTATTGCCTCTGCAGTCCAGTAGGACCTGAGACAAGCCTTTTCCTGCCCGTTGATTTATTTTTCCTTATTATTTCCTTGCATAGCCTTTTCACTAAATATGGACATCTGTTCTTCACCTAATTCCATACTGTCCTTGGTCTCCTGTGCTTCCCAGCTCACAGGCCCTCTGCCAGAGGGGGAGCACCAGGTGGTCCTGCACAGGCCTCTTAGTCACTTGCCACAGGAACATCACCGGCTATTAACTAGGAGCACATGCTCCAATACTCCCCCAATTACTCCTCTGTGCCTCTTTCCTTCTCAACATTAAGCTTTCATCTCTTCCATGAAGCCCTCTTGGATTGAAAACCTGTTACTCCACATTTGCACACATATTATAAATTATCCATTTGTATTTGCTTTTCTTGTCACTACACACATATACCTAAACATCAATACAATAAAATAACTGACACTTAGTAACAATTTACTATGTGCCAAGCAGTGGGCACCCTACCAAGTAGTTTACATGCAAGTTTTGATTTAATATGCTCATACTATTAATATGCCCTTTAACAGGCAAAGGGCCTGGAGCTTACAGAAGTTAGTTTTCTTTAGGTCTTTTAGCAAGTAAGTGGTTGAGCCAGGATCCTATTGCCACTGACTAGATTCTATACTGCTGTCCAATAGAACATTCTGTGATCATGGAAATACTCGGTACCCACATCCATTAGCCATGTGTGAATTGAGCACCAGAAATGTGGCTAGTGAGATTGAGGAGCTGAATTTTAAATTTTATTCCATTTCAATGAATTTAAATTTAAATAGGCAGATGTGGCAAGTGGCTACCATATTAGTGCAACTCTAAAGCCTTAACTCTTACTATGTTACACACACAGTAACTAAAAAAATGACTTATTTTGTTTGGACCAAGACAATTAGAAATAAATTAGAACAATAAAAAGAAGAAATTACTTATGTCTATAGGCACAAGATACTATATGTTTAATGGTGTGTGTGTGTGTGTGTGTGTGTGTGTGTGTGGTTCCAGGGCAAAGGCAGCATGTATGGGTCTTTCCCTGCCCCTTGGCCAGCATTGGGGCAAATGCATGGACATTATGTAAATTAGCAATGGGACTGAGTGAAACAAATGTAAGGGTGAGATTATATAGGCTTAATTCTTAACTCACAAGTTGCCACTCATGTCCAACATGAATGAGTCAGTCACTCTCTCAGAGCCTTATTTTCCTCAACTGCAGAATCTTTCAGGTTGTGTATATCATGCTCTCTGTGCCCATGTTAGTTATCATCCTGTATAACCCCAGCCCTTCCCCAAAGCCCTAGGGTCCCAGTTCATTTTCCGAGTAACCTCGGTGCCCAAAGTGTGTCCCATTTCCCCACTGAACTGGGCACTTGTGGAGGAGCTGACTGAGTGTCCACTCACTTGTTCTTGAAGTCCTCCACCACATCCTGCATGTTCTTCAGCTCCGTCTCCAGCCTTGCCCGCTCCCCGCCCAGGCTGTCCAGCTGCCGCCTCAGGTTGTTGATGTAGGCTTCGAACATGGGCTCAATGTTGGCCCTGGTGGTTTTATGCTCCTGCAGGAGGCTCCATTTGGTCTCTAGGACCTTGTTCTGCTGCTCCAGGAACCGCACCTGCCCCAGTCAGAGGTGAGAGACTGTGAGGGCTTCCTTACAGCAACCTCCCAGAGAGCGCTGCGATCCAAGACCCTCCAACAGTGCAAGGGGTGGGGCTGTAAGACCTCAGAGTCCAGGTAGCAGGCTCCTTCTCATCATTCTCAGCCCAGAAGGTAGAGAGGCAAGCAAAGATCAGTGTGATGGGGGAGAGGTGGTGATTTGATTTGGAGGTGGGAGAAGCAAGGAGGGCCAGAGGGACTGGAAACTGTATGACCACACCAAACCATGCTGATGTGTCTTAGGTGAAGAAAAGAACACTCCCCCATCACATTACTGGGTGAAATTTTGATTCCCATTAAATGGACAGGAAGTTCTTAGCAGAACATTCAACCTGTCTATTTTCTTTCCAACATGATTTCTCAAGATCTAGACTCTGGACTCAGTTGCCCACACCCTCCAGGAATGCTGGAATGGGTCACTCTAGAGTTGTATTGAAGGAATTTGGACACAATCCCACCCGTGTCTCTCTAGCTGTGTGGCCTTGGTAAGCCCTTCCTCCCTCTGCTCTCTCAGGTCCTCTGTGCTCCTGTGCTACAAATTCGGTTTCCTTGAATTGCACTCATCTGCCCCTCAGCCTGGAAAAACATGCAAAAACTTTCTCCCTAAGCAAAGTCCTTTCACTGGGAGCAGCTGGAATGACACACAACCTCAGAGAATGAAGGAACAGAGCCTCCAAGACTTTGGAGATGGCAATTTGCCTGCTGAGGGTCTTTGACAAATGCACCCACCCCACCAGCTTTCTCTTCCATTGCAGAGGAATGAGGGCAGTTCTGGCTCTAAGTCCCTCCCTAGTTACCACCCTTTGGTTCCTATGTGCCTTCCTGATCAATCTAAAATAGCATTTTTTCCCCTCAGAGCCAGGCTCCTGGAAATCTCACAGCTGTTGATGCAAACACCAGGCCAATTTTAAACACATGGGTGATAAAATTGAAGAACCACTGCCTCAGTGGTTAGGTTTTACACATTTAAAGATCTGGGTCCATATGATGAGGCATTTATAGACTGTTAGACCTGCAAAGGCATCTCAGAGTCCATCTATCCAACCCAACTGAGGCCCAAGAACTTAGGGATTCTCCTAGCAGTAGAGCCAAAAATGAGACCTGGGTTGGTTGTCTCTTTAGCACTTTCTTCTATATCCCAGGTGTGGAGTCTAAAAGATCCACATTCTTGAATTGGTTCTTCCCAGACAAAAACAACCAGCTCAGGTGTGAAGCAGGGGTGATGAGGCAAAATAGAATCCAAAATAGAATTATATCTTTCCCCAAACTGGAGAAATCCCTAGGATTCCAGGCCACATAGCAAGGGGGGACCCAGGGCTGAAGTCACAGCTTTCCTCTCTCTAAAAGAAAAGAGTAAAACACTTTGAACAGCCCCTGGCCAACCACCCAGCTTCTCAGACATGCCCAAATCACCAGGGGGGTTGTCACAGAGGGCTTGCCCCTATTACAGTCGGCAGGAAAAAGTGACCTCAGCCCACTTCTGTGGACCGACCTTGTAATCTTTCTTTCCTTTATCTCCTTCCCTCCAAACAGATGCCCTTTCACTATCTAATTGTAAGCCCAGTACACGATCACAATCCATCAAAAGAGCAATGTCTTTGCAGTGGGTCAGAAAGCTCAGGAGCTTGGAGGTAGACATTTTTCTGCTCCCACCTCAACAAAGTGGGAAACCACCCCTCCTCCACCCTGTCAGCAGTCTTCCCACCCCAGGATCACAGGTCTTGGGCAAGACACAGTTGACCTCAGAAAAGCACAGAGAGCAGAGATCCCCCAGCGTTTCTAGTGGGGATCCCACTTGCCTCTCACCTTGTCGATGAAAGAGGCGAACTTGTTGTTGAGGGTCTTGATCTGCTCCCGCTCCTCCTTCCGCACCCGCTGAAGGGAGGGGTCGATCTCCAGATGCAGCGGCGTCAGGAGGCTCTGGTTGACAGTGACCTCCTGGATGCCCCCAGATCCAGGCATCATCCCACCTCCATACCCGCTGCAGGCTCCTACTCTGTACCCTATGCCGCCAAGACCCATCCCATAGCCAGCGCCACCGAAGCTGCCCCGGCTGGAGCGGTAGCCCCCACTGACGGAGATTCTCTTGCTGCCCCCAAGGCCATGGAGACTCCTGCTTCCAAAGCCACCCCCAAAGCCACCTCCAAATCTCTTCCCGCCTTGGGTCATGGAGACAGAGCTGAAGCTGGTCCGGGAGCCCGGGAGGAAGTTCGCTGAGGAAGTACTGAAGTTCCGAGTGCCCCCTGACTTGATGGTGATAGAGGATCGTTGGGCCATGGTGGGAGTTGTTGGCAGAGGGTCAGAGGAGCAAAAATGTCACAGGGATGAGGAGGCTTCAGAGTCTAACTGTCCCAAAGTCTCCTTGGCTTTTATCCCCTTAAGAACTGGGCTTGGCCGGAGAAGATCACAGACCACTGTGTTGAGTTCATCTCAATGGCATGTCTGGCCACGGCCCATCTTCCTGCCCCGCTAATAATCATGGGAACTCCCTACCTAGGGCAGGACTGGGCCTGGGCATTCGAGCCCTGGGCAGGCCTGGGTCCTGAGGCCCCCACTTGCCCAGGTTCTCTGCCACATGCTGTTGACACTCCCACTGCGTCTCATCGGCTCCTCTCTTCTTGATTTCCAGGTCTTGGACTTTGAACCCAAGCACTTCTTATCACTTATAAAGAAACCCCATTTGTTGAGGACTCAATCTGTGCAAGACCATGTGGCAGGTCAGTTGCAATGATTGTGTCATTTGATTCTCATAATAACTTTGTGAGGTAGAGGGCAATAAAAATTGCTAACATTTCCTGAGTGGCTGCCATGGGTAGCTGTTTTACACCTGCCTTCTCATTTAATCTTTACACAGCACCACGTGGTGGCTATTACTGTTCTTGTTTTGCACATGAAGCAATTGAGGCATGGAGTAGTTAAGAGACTTGGCAGACCTCAGATAGCCAGTGACTGCTGAGCCAATGTGGGGGCCCAGTGGCCTGATGCACCTCATAGCGACGGAAAGAGGTGGCTTGTTACAGAGAAGCAAACTCCTGCCCCCTCTACTCCTCTTGTTCCAGCTCTTAACTTGATCCTCCCCCTCCACCAGGGATGTTTAACAATTGTTCTCAGTGCCATTTCTCTCCTTCTTGCCATCCTTTCCTTTTCAATCCTTCCCAATTTTCCCTGATGAGAGGGGTCCAGGAGACTGTAAACTCAGGAATGTGGGTGCTTCCGGATGTCTCATTGCTGCAATTATGGGCCTAAATGTCTCCTGTGCTAAGTGAAGGTGCTGCCCCGGGGCTGGCTTTTAACTCCGCTTCTCCCCTGTGATTTCTCTGCTCAGGTCTGCAAGTTTGAAGCTGTCAGGGAACAATGGTCCCTTTGCTGGCAGAGGGCTGGGCCCCCCACCCTACGTCAGTGTTTTGGAGAAACAGTCTGGCTTTGGGAGGTATGGCATCACCCTGCATGACATACATAACGGGGAAGCTGGGCGGAGCTTCTGCCCAGGGGCTGGGGCTTTTCAAAGAAGACATCCCAATGAGGGGTAGGAGGAAGTGGGCAGAAGCTTGGGTGCGGAGTCTGCCCTCCTGTCTTTCCCATATCCCTCCAGTCCAGCTTTCTGAGCTCTGGGGAGAAGTGGGGAAGGAAAGTCTGATGTGCTCTGGGTACTCCTTGTGTGAGGCCTTGTGCTGGGAGGAGGAAGAGGAGGAAGAGGAGGAGGAGGAGGAGAATTGTTCTGTGCTCCGTCACCATTCCAAACAGAGGGCTGGACACCAAACACATTACACATACATTTAATTGACACATTCCAGAGAGGGGAGAGAGGGAGCCTTCACTCCCAGCAGGCAGCTTATAAGCACCGTGAGACAGGGGGCCTGACAACCTGGCATGAAGATGGTCTGGGAGACACAGACTCCGCATTTCTGCATCTGGAGGGAGGGAGGGAGGAGGAGCTGAAGGGGAGTCTCTGCAAGACAAGCCAAATGTGAATCTTGAAAGTCTGTGCTCTGGCACAGAGAGGGCTCCAGGGGCTGTCTGGGGGACTGTCAGGAGGGCAGAGGCTGGCTCAGGTTGGAGATTGGGGTTTACCAGGATGCCAGGCTTCCTAGCAGCACAGGTGGGCCTTGTGACGGGGAGAAGAAGGAGAAGGACCCAGGTGTCCAAGGGTGTGTGCACACAGGCCAGGTCAGTGGGTAAACCTGGTTTCAGGACCGGGGTGAGCGAGTGGGTGGCTGCACTTAGTGTTTATAGCTTTTTCGGCTGGAGGACGTGGTGGAGACAAACTTGACACTGGAACCATTGCCCCCAAGGCCCCGGCTGCTACTGGCACTGAAGCCGGAGCCTCCCAGCCCCATGCCCAAGCTGTGCCCACCACTGGTGGTGAAGGAATAGCCACTGCCCCCACCGAGACCCAGGCCTCCACCTCCAATGCCGCTGCCACTGCCGTAGCCACTGGAAACAGTGGAGGTGACCACAGCTGTGGGAAGAGAGGAGATGTGGTCAGATTCAAAGGCAGGAGAGAAGACACTGGGGGTGTCAGGGCCTGTGCCCTGAAGTTCCTGGTGGGGGGGGGGGCAAGGTAGTCTCCTCAGGCAGCTGTTAGACTCCTAATTTTCCCGCCCGTGTAGTGGGATCACTGTGCTGTACCTCAGCTGGGTCCTCTCTGTGCAGCAGTTCCGCATCCTCCCAGTCTGGAATGGCTTTCTGCCTCCCCGCCACTACTCCATGCCTCTCTCTTCCTTCCAGAACTTAATGGAGACTTCTCTCTTCTGGGAAGCTGTTCCAGTCCACCTGCCTTCCCTTTTGATCCCGCCCACTCCCCCCTGCTGCGCTGTCCCATCTCCCCCTGCGGACTTGGCTCTGGTGTCTCCCTGATTTCTGGAAGCTCATAGGGAGGCACACATGTGCTTTCCTTGGTGTCCCCCAGCCTCTGTGCTCAGAATCCCAGAGGGGGGGTGGCTGGAATATTCTTGATAGACCAAGTGACAGCCAACCCATTGGCCAGCCAACTATTCTCGTCCCAACCTGTTCTTTTCCTAACTTTTATAACCACCACCACCACCACCACCTTAAACATCTAGTCTTCTACTTTGGGTTCTTGAGAAGAGAAGTTGAAATAAAAAATAGATTCTGTTATGGGATGAATTGTGTCCTTCAAAAAATATGTTGAAGTCATCACCCCCAGTACCTGAGAATGGGACCTTATTTGGAATATTTGCAGATATAACCAAGTGAAGAGGAAAATCATTAGGGTGGGCTCTAACCCAGTATGACCAGTGTCCTTATAAGAAGAGGGAAGGTATCCTAATGTGAAGACAGACACACAAGGACATGGCCTTTGACCACAAAGACAGAGATTGGAGTGGTGAGCCAAGGATTGGCAGCAACCCCCAGAAGCTAGAAGAGGCAAGGGGGCATTCTGCCCTATAGGTTTCAGAGGGGGCACGGTCCCGCTGGCACCTTGGTTTGGGATTTCTAGCCTGCAGACGGTGAGACAATAAACATCTGTTGTTTTAAGCTGCCCAGTTTGTGTACTTTGTTGTGGCAGCCCTCGGAAACCAACACAGACTTTCAGGTGCTTTCAAGAGAATGGAAACTTTAGAGGTGGTGCCGTCCATTCCCCAAATTATCTTTGAGGATCTCTGGAGACCCAGTGGTTCTCAATCTCCCTAATGCCGCGACCCTTTAATACAGTTCCTCATGTTGTGGTGACCCCCAACCATAAAATTCTTTTCGTTGCTACTTCATAACTGTAATTTTGCTACTGTTATGAATTGTAATGTAAATATCTGATATGCAGGATGTATTTTCATTGTTCACGACCCACAGGTTGAGAACCGTGGACAAAGACATCAAGGATGGACACCTGGGTGGGTGAGAGCTCTGCCTTCTAGAACCATTGGCTAATATAACCAATTGCTTTTGTGAATCTCACATAGAGAAACAAAACTCACTTGCAGAGTGTATGTTGTAGAAGTAATTTCTGTTGGCCTCAAGGTGCCAGCACTGAGCTCCGAGTGACACTTCTGCTGGGGGCCGGGCCAGCTTGCGAAAGCTTCTCATTCCTTGGCCGCTGCACCCCCTGCTATGTGTATGGTGCTCTCACTGCCCTGAAAACTCCTGGCTACTCTCTGTGGTTATAATCCACGAGTCGAGACAAGCAGAAGGGCTTCTTCCCAAATCGTTCCTGGAAGAGGCTGTCTGAATAACAATGCCCTTGTGCTCAGCATGAAGGCTCCCTCCAAAGGCAAGAGTTTTCATAAAGTCTGTCTGCATCGGACACTCGTCTCTGAGCCAGACTTGCAGCCCCATGGAGAACAGTGTGAAGTCCTGGGAGAGGGGAGGTGTGGCCTATGGTCTTCTATGCAGAAGGAGTTCAGCAAACCTCCCAGTGCCACTTTGTGGCACTCACACACTTACAAAGAGGTCAGTATTGTGACATGGAAGACTCTCTCCTAAGATGGCTCTCTTTTTAACAAATTCAGAACGTCAAACCTTCTCAAAATGAACCCTTTTGGTGGGATCCTCTCCAATGCCTCATGCGCGCCCACCTCTCCATCCCCCAATCACAAACACTCCAAATGATGCAAAGAATGTCATACTCACAGATGTTAACTGGAGAAACACCCTCTCCACTCAGCCTGATTGGAAGGAGAGGGGAGAAAGAGGTTACTATTGTGTCCAGAAGTTTGTGGGTATTTAAAATGACATTTTTGTAATTGTTTTAAATGCATTACAAACCCTTTATTTTTATTGCAGAAATAGTGGAGGTTGAAATTATTTAAATACTAGTAATATTAAATATAAGTAATAATTTAATGAATGAAATAATGTGGAGTTTGAGGTTCATAAGAGTAAAACCTGTAATCCCAGAAGCCCATTTTTGGTTTAGACTAAGTAGATACCTTCTGAAAATTAAAGCCATCATACACTGGTGTCATTGAAAAGGCAGGACTTGTCATAGAACAAGAAGAATTCTCTCTGAACAATGGACCATTGTCGTGCACTGGGCAGTGCTAAGGTTATTATAGGTGTGGAGAGGAGCCTGAGTCATAAACATAACACTTGCAATAATCAGTCTATTATCGTGGTAGCAAATAGAGTAATTTTGTTTTAGCATCTTGAGGACAGAACTGGCATTCATTTATAAATACACACTTAGAACATTAAAAGAGCTAACAATTATTGGGTACCTGTTACCTACATTCTGCCACTTAATTCTCTCAACTCCATTAAGTAGGTGTTATTATCTCAGTTTTACAGATGGAGAAATTCAAGCTCAGAGAGGTTAATTAATTTGTCCAGCATCACAATTTGAAGCCAGATT